GGTTTTTCAAAACATTTAGATATTTAAACCTAGAGATGGATTCCTCATGGGATCACCTACTTTTGCTAGTGAGATAGACACCACTGGGAGCTTGTTGCAACTCTGCAAAGTTAATTACCTCTCAGTATTTAAATCCTAATTACACACTGAATCACAGAATGGTTCATGTTGGAAGGGAATCCAAAGATCATGCAGTTTCTGCCTCCCTGCCATGGGGAGGAGGCCTGAATTAGATGTATATAGTTTGCTCAAGTCCCTTTAAATATAGATATTAGATCCACTGCTGTTTTGAAAATATTAACTTTGAGAAAACAATTATTTGAAGGCTGCAAAGTAGGCTTGCAGTCTTCCTTTTGAAATTCAAGGGATGTTATCTCTTTTCAGTGAATCACACTGGGGAAACCCCCTCCAAACTAATGTATTTTCATTTCCTGCACTACTTTCTTTATCTTATCATTATTATTCTTATTTCTTGTCAGGGTTATGAAGGAAACCTTGCAATCTTTGTCAAAATTGATTTGCTAGCAGAAATATTATGAGGCCACCTATGATCTTGCAGCCAGAGCCAAGAAAAGAACAGAGAGGCAAATACTTGTAAAAGAATTATTCAGGAGAAAAAAAAAAGTGTGCATGTCTTATTCAAAGATGTGCTCCTGAAGTGTAATACACTTGAGGAGTCAGGCATTTTGTAAGGTGGTTATAAAGAGCAAAGCTATTTAGTCTCCCATTAAAACCATGGAAGAAAATAACAACAACAACAAAAACCCCACCAAACAAAAAAAACCCGGGTCCTCCTTCAGCAAAACCTCTTCTTGGAGCCCAAAAGGAATCTGCAGATGTATACCCCCTGCGTGAGAACAAAGTCTTCAGTCACTGGAATGCAATGCTATAAAAACAAATACTACAAAGCCTGGTAACAGGGGGATGTCTCACTTGCATATTTTTTTGTGAGCATTTTGGTTTGCAGAGAAGGGGGTCCCCAAAGCATGTGAGCCAGCAGGATCTCTTTGTACTAGGTTGCTCTCTGTTTGGCCAGATGTCTTCCCAACAGTGAGGCAGAAAAACCAGAGCTCTTATTAAAATAAGTCAGGGAAAGGAATGGAAAAAGGCATATGTCCAGTGAAACGAGGCACATTGTGTCCCATCTGATATTTATTAAACATTGATCAAATCAGCAGTGAGAAATGCACGTCATGCGGAAGTGACCCCAGCTCCCTGGGTTTGGAAGGCAGTGGCCAATGTCTGGGAGCAGAGCAGCATTGAAAACACGTGTACAGGACACAGACAGGAGTGTGCTGCACTGGGAGCATCGTTAACAAATGGAGAAGAGCTGACTTCAGCTGAGAACGCCCTTTTGCAGGTTTTACATTTGTTCTGTCAATGGGATGTGTATGTAGGGTCCTTCCCTTTCCATATAGTCTGCAGCTTCCTAGATGAAATGTGATACATCTCCTGGAAGAATTCTGCACTTTATGTCAGTCATAACAGCAAGCAGTCTCGTGGATAAAACTGGGGGAGTTCTGCCAAATTAAAGCCCGAGCATGGGCTCCTTCAAAGATCAACTCACAGCTTTTGTGGTAAACCTGAATGATTTCATGCCAGCCTGCTGGGTTTTGTGTAATCACAGTAAGCATTTTTAATTGACTCACATTTGTTGTTGCTTAATATTTTGGCTATCACATCTTTTGAGAACCACCTTTGAATAAAAATGTGTCCTCACAACATGAACTAAATACATCTCCTATATCAGAACAATCTTATTTGGGCATGATCCTTAAGTGAGGTAGTGGGGATGAATAACAGGGCAAGCTGAAGTCAGGGTGTGTGCTTGGGAATTTGGGGAGCTCTGATTATACTGGAGTTCATCCTTACACAGAGAAGGTTGCATTCATAGCTTTTGCATATAGCCTGATGTATTTAATTGCTCAGAAAGATATCAGAATGACTCTTCCAAATCAGGAAGAGTACCTGTATCTTTGGTATTTTTGTAGTAGTCTTTATATGTTTAGTAAACTAGAAAGCAGAGTTAAGCACTACATGTTTGTAATAAAGAGAAAATATGATTGTTCTGAAAGACTTTACTGTATCCCAGGTAAAAGAAAACAAAGGAGTCTGTTAGAGCTCCCTGGCTTTTCACTCCAGCCCTGGACTCGGGTCGTGTTAGATGAGGGTAGCAGGGGTTCATTGGCAATCAGAAGTAGTTTTAGGCTGACAGGCAGAAAGCCCCAGTAAGGAATGCAGTACACAGTTCCAGGCCAGTTAGTTAATGGAATCACTCCAGCCTGTATGATTGTTTTAGTATGATGTGCCTGTGTTATTGATACCAACCGTGCTGGGCTGTAAAAGGATGGAGAGGTCTGGCTTTTGTTGGGGTGCTGTTCTGGTGTCAGTTTGAAATACACAGAAACGAAAAGTTCTGAAAAGCTGAAGTGCTGTTTTATTGAACCAGAGGTAGAGAGGGTTGAGACAAGTGAAACTGGATCCCTGTGAAGTGCTGGAACATACATGATGCTTGATGCTGAACTGCAATGCACCCAGTGGCATCGGTGAAGTTTCAGCTCGTTACACTACCCAGGAAGCTGGAGTACAGTGACAGAAAGCAGGTCATGTCATAAAATGAGTAATCTGACTATGAGACACTTATCAAGTGAAACTTTTCATTGTGCAATTGCTGCCAAAGGCTTTGTTTTTACTTCTGCCTTTCTCTGTGTTTTGTACCTCTGCAGTCCATCATTTTTCCCAGATTAGGATCTAGGCCTGTTTCAATTAACATTAAAATAAGAAGGATCAAGCTTTCTGTTTGTCTGTGTATTTAGAAAGTGAATGTGATGTGAGTTTTGCCCCAGATTTGTTTTTGGATATGTGGAACTTTTAAAGACAACCAAATTGGAATTTTAAACCCTTCCATGAGAAGGAGCCTTGCATTTAGGGCACAGGGGCTCAATGACCCCATTAGTACTGGCTAAGGCCAGCAATATGGTACTCCAGACACCACCAAGTTCCCACTGTGAGATCATTTCAGTCTCTAAATACCTATTGCAAACCCTTAGAAAACTGCACTTTCCCTTTCCTGCTTTTTCAGCAGTTAGAGCTTCCTCACCAGCAAACTCCTTGAGACCAAAAAAGCAAGTCAGCCCATGCATCAGGATCCACAAGCAAACCTGACTACTGAATTATGGACCCTTCACTTTTTCTTTTGTGGCACAGGAGTTACCACCCTTCCAAATCCAAGTCACCAATAAATGGGCTATGGAGCTGCCTGTCTCTGTGCCAGCTCCCTCCCTTCCCACCCCACAGGCAGAAGAGAAGCCTTTACTCTCTGGAATTTCTGTTCTTGAGTTTATGCTTATAAGTTCTGTTCTTGAGTTTATGCTCTCGTTTTCCCATAATGTTCTTGAAAAAAGAACCACATGTTCCCAGCTGGTCTTATGCCTAAACCACAAGGAACCCAAATCTATGACATCACTTTCATCACATGGCAACAGAATGTGATGTCACACCTGAAAAGTTTAGAAAAAACATGTGATGATGTGATGTGGAAAAGACCTGAAAAAGATGCATTTCTGCCTTACCCACAGTGAGTATATGTGCAGAGAGGATTGAAGAAAATATCTTGTCAAATAAACTGTATAAATCCTCTCCCTCCATTGCTCCAATATGGTAATCCTTCCTTCTTCAAGTACCTTAGGTTTAAAGGAAGCCATTGGAAAATGTCATTGGAGAGAGAAATGCAGTTGACTTAATTCATTATGTTGGTCACCCATCCTTCTTGAACCCAGGGGAAGTGGCCTGTGCTTTTCTCTTAAAAAAAAATGAAAAATAGAAAAACACTCTGCAGAAGGTAATAAGTTTGGAAAAGTAAAATCATCTGTGTGTTAGGCCTCGGGGGAAATATAAGTTATTCATAAAAAGCTACAGAGCAAGTTTTGATTAGTTAAGTAATCTGGTACATAGAATTTATTAGAGCTTAAAGCTTTCCTTTGGGACTCCCCTAATAGTACACAAATAGAGTGAAATATCAAAGAAATGCATTTTCTGACAGACACAGAAATTTAGGTTAATCCTGGCCTGCTTAGCGCACCTTGGAAAGATGGATAAATCCCGTCTGTTTCTTCCAGCACATTGCTCCAGTTTTCAGGTTTTTACACATTTGTGCTTCTGATTAATAACCCATGCTCCCAACACTCTTGAGCTATTCCCAAGGAGCACAAAAGAGAAAAATAGGAAAATTGCGTCCATAATAGACTCAAAGATATCAAGCTGTTCTGGAAAAAAGTTTAAATATAGAATAGTAAAGCTCTGGTTTCTTTCATCAATTTGAGGCCATTTTTCTTAAGCTTGCCCACAAAAAGAAATTCACCAGAACTTTTTCTGTGGATGAACAGATCACTGTATCAGTAATGCATCCCTTCTTTTCTGTGGAAATAGTGTTCTCCAAAACCCCTCAAAAATATGCAAAAAGTCTCGTTGTGGAAAGAAAGTGTTTGCACGGTAACTTTCTGTGGTGCTTGTTACAAAGCAGAACTACCCCTACCAGATTTTCACAATGCTCTTCTTTTTCTGTGTTTTTTTTTCTGCCAGAACATTTGTTGTGTCCTATTGCCCCCATAGGGATATCAAATGCTAAGAAAGAGCTGCTGCGGTGTGATGCCTGACAGAGGAGATGCTAATAAAGGTTTTATTTCCAAAACTCACCAGAATCTTGTTAGCACAATCAGAAAATAGCCACCTCTCAGGAGAGCCAGAGGTTGTCCAGTGAAGCAGAACCTACTTCTCTTACACATGCTAAAATCCCAAAGTGATTGTTTCACTGAGCAGATGTTCTAACCACTGTGAATTTTTATCCTGGCAGCACAGGCAAATAGGCACCCCATATGTAAACATCACCTGCTGAGATAAATAATTTCCACTTTAGAAAACAGAGGAAAGGAGATGGGGAGACAAATCCAGCAATGTGTTCTTTGCCATTGTTTTAAATTTCTTTAAATTTTCTGTTGCAGGTATTCAGGAGGGGAGCCAATGTACCAAGTGTAAAAATAACTGGGCACTGAAGTTCTCCATCATCTTATTATACATTTTATGTGCCCTGTTAACAATCACAGTAGCCATTCTGGGATACAAAGGTATGTATGTATGCATTGAGACCAACATTTCACTTTCAGGCAAGCATCCAAACACATTGTCACTTATTAGCTAGCCAGGCAATTTGTCACATTTTAGCCTAAATGTCAGTACTTGGGCAATGTTGGCTTTTTGTATGTACATAACAACAAACTACAACCTTAGAATTTCACTTTCAAATAACTATGATATTTTGAAACCAGACTAGACATTTGAAAGGGAAGTTGAAACAAAATGATCATTCCTCCACCAAGAAGGAGTACTGGAAGACACAAAGCTGTGTAACATGTGCAACAGCCAGGAATATCTTACTAATATAATATTTATCACAGGAACAAAATGTAGTATCAATATTACTTTGAAATATCTAGAAGAAGAAAAATTAAACCAGGAGGTACCAGTGTATTGACTATCCACAATAATTGTGATGAACAAAGACACTTAGATGCTTTTAACCATAATTTCAAAGATTCTGGTAGTTGAGCAACCCAGTAATGGAGAGAATTTCATTTGTGCAAGTCATTGGTTGAGCACATTGGGAAACATGGCTTAAAACTCCCATAAATCCTTATCACAAATTAACTGTAGCCACTTAGGCATTTATAAAAATGTTTTGATGTAAATACCTGCTTATTGTGCAGTTACATCTATAATAAGTTAAATAAATAAGATGTCGATTTCTGGCATGAAAAGGAAAGTGAACAACATCATTGTGAGCATTGTAACAGGGCATCACAGCTTGTTGCAGAGAAAACCAAGCTAGTTCTAAACTACCTGTCTGAGTATGGCTCTGAGAGTAGCTTCAAAACCCCTCTAAGGAGCTGAGTAAATATTCATGTGATTAGCATGCAGTGTGTCCTGTGCTGCCAACAGCTGCACTCATAGCAGAGCTGACATCACCTCTGGTCCTTTGCCAGGGAAAGAAAAGGAAATTGTAGAAATAGAAAGGATAAATAATTATTTAAGAGGATTTGGCACAGTTTGAGTGGGAGAAAAATAAATCTGTTTTGTTTAGAGCGAAGATTTGTCCAGGGAAAAGAGAGAATGTGAGGAACAGATAGAGAGACTTAGGTAATCTTGTTTCATGATAGACCAGACAGAAGGTGGCAAATTAACATCAAATGTAAAAAAAATGCAGTACATCTATGTGGATACATCTCCTGAAGTAACTGGTCTCTGAAAGTCAGATTTTGAGGGACAAAAAGCCTTCCAGGATTCAAAAATTTATTCTTGATCTAAGATGATTTGGTCAAATGGATTAGGGGAGGCCTTTTGCAGATATAAATCTGCAAAATCTGCTTACATCAGATGAGAATGGGGTCTTTCCCAACTTAACCCAGCCACTAAACAACTGGAATTTAGCAGAATTTCCCTCAAGAGTTTTACATAAAACTATCATTTCTGGGGCTTCCCAGAAGACTGAGCCCTCAGACTCAGCATCAGATGCAGCATATCAAGTTGGAGAGACTACTGTTCTTTATCTTGCTTTGGCAAATGATTTACATGTGTGGAGGAAGCAGTATCAATAAGGAAACTGTCCAGCAGACTTTGGGAGAAGGATTTTGTCTTCCTCATTTCAATCTAGTTTTCAAGTTTCTTTCTCTACGGGGGCTGCTAGCACCATCTTTTCCCCAGGCTTTGCTCTTTACTTGAGGCCCAAACTTTGCTTCACTCATTTCTAAACTTCCTTCTTTGAATGAGCAGTCACTCATCAGGGATGAGTCTTTCTGTCATAGCAGTACCAAATCACAGGTATCCAGGACAAGGACAAAAGAATTCCCTCTTCAAAAAATAAATGAAAAAGGGATTGTAGGAGGGTGGATAATGCATATCTTGCTTGCAGACCCTAAGACATTTTGGTGACCATTGCTCACCAGCTTGGTGGTTGCAACATTTGAATGCCAAGGAAAAGAGGCAGAGACAAAAGTCTTGTTGAATCCAAGTATTCCTTCTGTAACACCAAGTAGCAAATGGTCATGTGTGAGACACTAATTCTGCCCTTTGTACCTGCAGTTTCAGAGCTTTGTCTTCAGCGTACCTACATGCTAATTTGCAGAAAACATAAGTTAGATAAGCATAAGTTAGATAAAACCCCAGCTGACAGTACATATTCAAATTAATTGCTGCAATAATTTTGATTGTTGAGAAGGGATTAGGCCTTAAAGGAAGAACAAAATTCAGAATAAAAGTATATTGTTCTTGAACTCTACTCTCTGTATCAGAATTTGGCTTTTGGTCTCTTTTTTACTGCAATATTACACTGGAAGAAGGAATTCTGCTGGCATCAGGGATTATTTCAGTCTCTTAGCTAAGTTTCCATTACATTTGCCTCCCACACTTATGTTTATAAAGCCCAAAACTACTTTTAAAACGTTCATTTCCTACGTCGCATTTAAATATCCTTTGTGATTTAAAATGTTAAAATTACTAATCAGTGGATTAAATATGGCAAGCAAAAAAGTAACTCAATGGGAGGCAAAGTCAACACAGAACAAACCTCCAAACTAGTGGTAGAAATTATATAGTATGTTGGAGAACCCTGAAACCAAAACATGAATGAATAACAAGGAAACAAAACATGAAGGAATAACAAGGCAAGTTTAGTATTCTTCTCCTTTGAGGAGACAAATTGTTGTTTAAAACACTAATAAAGCAATCTGCAATTTTTTGCACATACTTTATTAAATTAAATTAAAAATACAAAGTTATAATTTTTCTGGCACCAGCCGGTGTCAGATTAGTCTATTGAGGATGAATGATCTTCCTGTGGCTCATTCCAGTAAGGGAATGCTTGTGGCTTGAATTTCTGGTAGTTTTTATTCTCTAGTCAGTCCTTGTTTTTAAGTTTCTTGAGTAATGCCCACCATGACTTTCATCTGATTCTTTTATCTGTCTCCCAGACATAGTTTTCCTGCCATTACCTGGGGCCAACACATCCTGGTGAAATGGCACATTTTGTCATAGTGGCTTAGATGCAGACAGTCCTCACTGTTCTGGTCAGCAACTACTTGAAATTTTGGCTTTCTTTAAAGGATCTTTACCACATTTTCCACTGTGATTTGTCAGGAATTGAGATGATAATGCAGAGAGACCAAGCTGAATTCAAACCAAAGAATTAAGGTGAAAGTTAAAACCTGAATTAAGGTGAAGTTAACCAAAAGCAAGTTAAGACATACACAGCTTTGCCTTTTTAAGAGTGGGCAGATTGTTGGGAGCAGCAGAGTGACCTTTTGTGTGGGATATTACAGCTGATCTGCCTGTTTGCCTTTTTCTGGAGAAGGTGGAAAGTGGCTGTTCAAGTCTGGGGCACTCACTAGAGGCTGACTTCCACTTCTGAGAGTGTTCCACATGCTCATCTACCACTGAAGGCTCCATCCAGAGATAGTGGTGGGAGCTACTACCAGAGAAGGAAAGACATTTCCAATAACATGACATGAGCCATATAACCTCTTTTGACATCAAGAGCAACAAAACCCAACACTGGCCTCTCGCTACTCAGTCTCTCCCAAATTCTTCTCTTCCACTTGCAGGGCAATAGCAAGAAAAGCAAATAAGCTACAACTTGCTTTGGGAAGGATTTTGGGCAGGGGATCAAGCTCCCCAAATCCATGATTTATTTGACCATGGAGGCTAAGATCCTACCCCAATATAAAGCAAATACATGCATTGGTTTATCTATGGGACGGCAGCTTAGCCCTTGAGCTAACCCTGCAGTCAGGTTTGCAGAGACCAGCAGGTTTGTTTCTGCGGCTGGAGTTCAGTGGTTTGGGGTTTTTTCACTTTGAACAATGAAAATACCATATGCTGTTGTATAATTACTTCGGTTCAGTCTCATTTAACTGCCAGACAACTACTTATTGATAGGATTACTACTGTTTTGTTTACATTTGCTTTGGACTCTTCAGGGTTAAATTTTAACTCAAGCTTCCAGAGTTAGATTTCATTCAACCGAGAAAACATACTTGTTATATGATAGTTTAATTTTACAAACTTCAGATCTGAAGTACAAACTAGCATTCATTTGGACAGCAAAAGGAAGAAATTACATTTTTCTTTTAATTACTGATAATATATATTCATTTTCCAACTCCAAGTGTGTTATATAACTGGGGAAACAGTTCAATATTACACTAAAACTGAATTAACAAGAACCATAGGTAACGTGACATTGCTAGTCAAGGCGCAGGTTCAGCAGAAACACTTGAATTAGGCCTGCTTTTTAAATACAGATGATTTCATAAGGTCCCTGTAAGTGCCCAGAGTGAGCCATGCCCTGGCAGTGACTCTCTCTAGACAAAGGAGAACACCACAGACTGAACAAGGAGCTGCCTAGAGCCAGAAGGAAAAGCCAAGTCCTCACTCTCTCTGCATGTGATGCATAGGTGTATACATGCATCAGTGGAGTGTCAGAAGTAGCTGAAGGACCTTTGTTGATCTGGGCTCCAGCCTGGAAGACAGCAGGGCAGGACAAACAGAGCGTCAACTCTGGTTTCATTTAGGAAAAATGGCATATAGCATTTTGACAACTTTAATGGGCAGAAGAACCAGTGAAAAATTAGTGCTATAATGGGGAGAAAAATGCTTTCTAAAGCTGAAGATATTGAGCAACTGTCCCTCTGAAAAAGCAAAGCCTTTATTGTAGTCTGGGTCTGGTGTTTAGCAAGCAATTTGTCATCATCTCAAACACAGAAAGCCACACTCTGCACAGACTGTAGAGTCTCTTTTTTACTGACTTTTTAGCAGCCTAGAAGGGAGCAGGCAGGTAATTCACCAAAGGGTGTATGGTCTCTCTGAAGACCCTGAGACTTTTTCTCTGTTGTAACTCCTCACTGATGTTCCATCAGATAGTCTTGGTCTGTTTTTCTCATGCTGGTTTTGGGGAAGCAGTAAAAGCCTCCAGTGTAACTGTGGTACCCAGAATCAGAAAAACAGATGCAAACGTTAATAAAGAAGGAGCACAAGATGGACTACACTTTAAAGGTCTGGGATTCGTGTGGTTGCTCATGAGCAGCAAAAGATTCCTAAATTTCACTTCTTGTGAAAACCCAAACCTTTACATAGCAACATTTTTATGACACTCTTTCCTAGCTGCAGATCATTTCACAGACAGAAAGAGTTAGAGGTACCCCTATCCCACACATGTTTACAGAACCTCAAAAGATGGAAAACACTTTATTTCTTCTGTTTGAAAAAAAGGAGCTGGCACAATAACTTCTGTAGCCTCTCCCAGGGTTGTTACAGACCCATTCTGCTCCCAGTGTAGCAAAAGGACTAAATAATCTCATGATGAGAAGCAATTTCTATCCCTAGTTGTGAATGCAAAAGGCTGTTAGACAAAGTCTAGTGTGAAATCTGTAGGCTACCCCTAGCCTTGCAAGAATTTCACATTTTTGCCACTGGTTGCCACCCCGGGCTGTTTATTTGTTGCTCTGCTTTTTCCATTCCCATATTAATTTCATCAAATAATTGAATGTCTCAGTGACAATAAAAGTACTCTGGCATTACAAAATAAAGGGCACATCAGTCATAAATCTGCACTTCCTGAACGACCATCCTTTCAATCTTAATGAGGCAGAACCATTTCAAGACTGCTTTGAGTGATCTGTACCATTATCAATATGTTTAAACCCCCCAAAACATTTAGTAATTACTATCTCAGTCCTAAGCTTACTATCCAGGTGGCAACTTTTAATGATGAAAAGGCACAAGGAAAAAAAGAATTCTTTTTAAGGAGAAATGGCTCATAGCAAAATTAAAGGAAGTTTCATTCACACATCTGAGCCTTTAGCAATCAGTTTTCCTTTGCCACACAGCACTGTGCTGGAAGCATGGAAATACTGTTAAAAGAAAATTACTTTGTTTGTGAGGAAAACCCACAAAGAGGGATTTCCTCATTCAGGAGAGAGATTTCTCATGGGCAAAAAAAATCATTAGGGACTGCTGGCAGACTGAAGAAGTAGAATTCTGGGTCCACCAGCAAATAGGACCTAATCCTTCCAAGATTTCACAGAGCAACAGCAGTGTGTAATGGCAAGCAAGGCAATTTTAAGATGTTTTCTTTTTTTACTGTTTGGTGATAATGGTGTGGGGTTTTGTTTGCTTTATTGTTTACTAGTCTTTTTCATAATTTCCCTTTTCTTCTTTTCATAACACACTGTTCTCTCTCCCCTAGTTGTAGAAAAAATGGACAATGTGACAGGTGGCCTGGAAACATCCCACAGAAGATACACAGAAAAGCTCACAGAAGTGGAGAGTGATCTGAAGAAATTAGGTAATCTACACACTAGCAAAGCCTCTTTGTATTATGGACCTGGGATGTTCTCCTGGCAGATTGAGGCAGGAAATTTGTCTGAAGAATCTCTGCCTATGACAAGATACAGCACTTCCATTCCACTTTCTCAAGTACTTGGGAAAGTACTTAAAAATAGTTCAGATCAGCTCCACTTAGAGAGCATTTTAAGAATACTTCAAAATTTACAGTTCCCACTGAAGTCACTCTGAAAACATTTATACTTAATACTTAAATAAACAGACACTTAAACGTTGTCCTCAGGAGAAAATCTTCTCTAAGGTAGAGATCTAAAACATAACAGAAGTTGTTCTACAGCACAAAAGATTCTACATAAAATGAGCACCTGTCACCCAGTCATCTTGATGCTTTTTTAGCAATTAAGATTCAAAACTGTAGACCACTTTTCAAGGTACACAAATAATCAGCTATTCAAAATTCTTATGTCTGAGGCAAGTGTATTACTTCCATAAATTGTTTCTTGATCATCTCAGGGAATAAAGGACGTAAGATTGTTATGTGTTTGAGTCTCCCAAGCACTATCAAAGTTCTTAGTTTTCAAGAAGATGTAAAAAAAAAATCATGGATAAAGATTCTACTCTCTAAGTGTACATTTTTACTTTTCTTCTTATACATATAGTTTTTATTGTAGATGTATTAATATACACATACATGCATGTGATTCTTGAAATGAATTTTGTCTAGTTTTGTAAACCATATATTGTGACATGTATTTCTAGGAAAACTTCCTTACTTGCAGCTTGATTGTAAATTTTTACAACTTTTTCCCTGAAAAAGGAGCTGGCTTCTAAAGTATTTGTACACTACATTTAGTTCAAAAACATGGGGTAATTCAGTGAGAGGTGCTTTTACTGACACATCTACAGAAGGAAATGTTACACTTTACTTCTGTAAAGGTTGCTTGTGCAACCTTTTGGGTTCTATTTGGGTTATTATATTATGCTGATTAAATTTTCATGACTTAGAGCACCTTTGCTTCTTTCACGGCCATATTTTTACACATTGCTAGATGGATGTTCAGGGTCATCCATTCCCATTTAAGTGGGCTTGCCATGGAGGAAGTTAGGAAAGTTCTGGAGCAGTTTGAGTAGGAGACATAAAAGTAAGAGAAGTGCTGTAGGGCCAGAAGGATAAAAGCGTGTGGTGAATGGAAGGCAGGCCTTCAGGGATTAGCTGTATGTGGACCTGGGAGTTGTCAGAGCTGTGTGAGGAACACAGTATAATTTGAGCTACAGCCAAGAGGTAAACATGGAGTCAGAGCTGAGAAGATCTGGGAGTGAGAGAAATGGCAGGGAGAGGAACTGTGCTCAGGAAGATGTCAATCCTCAAAAGACTCCATAAACACTTCAGGCTGAAGTCTCACAAGCCATCATTTGATGTTTACATCATGGCTCATTCAATCACACCAGACAAAAGCACCATACACAGCTGTACTCACTGTAATTTATGAAAACCATACTGCTCTCTCTTGGCATCAGCTGAAATTATGGACTTGAGACATCTAATTCATAAATATAGCTACACGTAGATGAGGACAAAAATATATGGACTGTGAGCAGGATAGTGAAGTGACTGAGGTCAAGCAAGAGAGTCTTCCCTGAGAGCAAGTGTTGACTGCTTATTTCTTTGGTTTCTATGTCCTGGATGATAGGCTGTGCAGTCTCAAATGCTTCATCATACTTGGACAAGCTTCCAGAAGTATTCCGTAGGGCAATGTAAGCACAGGCAGAGATGTTCCTCAAAGATTAAAGGTTTTACCTTCCTCAAACTCAAAACATGAGGAAACAATAATGGCAAAATAAATGTCATTAAAAGCAATAGTAATATATTAGAGAGAAAACCAGAAATATATCTTATCCTGACATATCTGAAGTAGCCTGCTGGCAAAGCTTTTGTCTCTAATCCAGATTGCTTTAAAATAAGTATGAGAACTTATTTAAAGCTAAACCCAAGATTTTAAAAATTGGAACTATATGTACTAAATCACAATGAAGGTATTCCACTTGCAATGAAAAGAAAGAAGAAAACATGAACAGATAAAATAAACTTCTGATCTTTCAGCAAAATCCAGTTGTAACTTCAAAACCTACACTTGCTGGTACCTGTTTAATGTTTTGAATTCTGTTTCCCATTCAGTTTTCATTCAGAACGCAGCATTCTTGACTGCATGTACTCATCAGTTTCTTACCATAGTTTTTCCCATTTGTGATGACAGAATCACCATTTTGTTCTCCTCAGCAAGACACCAGGTCTCCATCAATTCCTCTTTGCTTTTTTTCTCTGTCTAGAGGCCGAACTTTGCTTAGTGGTTTCTCTTTTCTGGAAGAGAAGAGATAGCATAAAAGTTCTACTGAACAGTTTGACAACCTGACTGTTCTTAAAATGCACTGTGCTGTTTTATACTGTGTTTAAAAAAAAAAAAAAACAACTAAAGCCTTTCCTTTTTTTTTTCTTTTTTCCTGTACAACAGATGACCAAGCTGGACAAAAAGCCTTGAATACTAACACTGAACTGTCCAGCTTCAGATCTGACATTCTGGCTCTTCGTCAGCAACTTCATGACATTGCAGAGAAAACTAACAGAAACAAAGACACACTGGAGAAGCTGCAAGAGTCTGGAAATTTATTAGATGATAGGCAGAACCAAATGAAAAGTGCCTTAGATAGTAACACTTTCACGATCATCAGTGTCAATAAGACTCTTCAGGCATATACTGGCTATATCAACAATCTCCAACAAGACACAAGTAATATACAAGCAAACCTGCAAAGCCAAGAGCATTCTCACAATGTGGTCATCATGAGCCTTAACAACTTAAATCTGACTCAAATACAGCAAAGAAATCTTATCAGTGTCTTACAGAAGTCGATGGAAGATACAAGCTCGGCTGTTCTAAGAATCAAGAATGACTTTCAAAATCTGCAGCAGGTTGTCCTTCAGGCCCGGAAGGACACTGACTGGCTTAAGGAGAAAGTACACAATTTACAGGCCTTGGCTGCCAACAACTCAGCAATGGCAAAAGCCAACAATGATACACTTGAAGACATGAACAGTCAGCTCAGCTCTTTCAGTGGGCAGATGGAGAACATCACCACAATTGCCCAAGCCAATGAACAAAGTCTAAAGGATCTCCAGGAACAGCATAAAGGAGATGAAAACAGAACTGCTGCCAAATTCACCAATCTAGAAGAAAGGTTCCAGGTCTTTGAAACTGATATAGTCAATATCATCAGCAACATCAGCTACACTGCTCATCACCTACGGACACTGACAAGCAATCTCAATGAGGTCAGGACAACTTGTACAGACACCTTAAGTAAACACTCGGATGAGTTGATTTTTATGAACAGCACACTAGCCAATATTCGCATAGACTCTGCATCTCTCAAGGTGCAACAGGATTTGATGAGGTCAAGGTTAGATGTTGAAGTTGCCAATTTGTCAGTGATCATGGAAGAAATGAAGCTGGTGGATTCCAAACATGGCCAGCTCATCAAGAACTTCACTATCCTACAAGGTATGCAGCTTCCCTAATGATGGTGTGTGTGCTGAATTCCTGCTTGCATTACTTCTTTAGTTCTGTGGAAGTTATTGTGTGCTGGTACAGAGTCCTGGGGTTTTCCATTATCCAATCCTAAACTTTGGAAATGAACATGTAGCTTGAATTTTCCGTACTAATTTTTCTATGCCTTTTTTACATAGCTAAAATGGGGATGTTATGAACGAAAGTTCTGACTTAGCAGAATTTTACTCTGTCTGACTGACTGACTGACTGGATCTGCTTTTGATTTAGTTTCTAAAATAAGTGAGTGAAGGTGTGGAACCTCAAGAAACCAATCCTCAGTAAGGAGGAAATGGCTAAAAAATATATGTTGGACTATTCCCAGAAAGGTCCACCCTTACTGAAAAACAAGTTACTATTTCACTTTAAGCCAGTTGTTAATCTGCCAGAAAACATCCTACTTTGCTTAGTTTTTAATCCTGGGATACTTTATTTTCTCCAGAAATAAATAGCATCAGGTTTAGGAGGTTTCTCCCAGCCAAATATTATCCCAAATGAAAAGAACACTCATATTTCCAATCAAATGTGAATCAGCCTAAACCTCTAATCACAAATATAAATCCATTGCTCCAAATAAACTAAGGCTGCATTAGAGCCAAGATTACATGTCAGTAACCTTAACCATTCTCATTTCAACCAGGCCTAAATGATTCCAGCCTGGAAATCTGTCTCTGGAGTAGTTTGAATTATGTAGATTAGTGCCGGGGGTGGGAAGGTATTGACAAGGGATTTGCTCATCCATGAACAGAATCCCAAACTGTTTTGTTGTTTATTGCTGTCACAGTATTTCCATTTCCTGTTGTGGGTTATCGTTCCCTGTCTTGTTAGAGCTGGCCATTTTGCAACTTCTGGTCTTTCCCACAGTTGGCCTTTTGCTCACTATCCATCATTTTGTCTCTTTTTGACACCCTGTTATTGACAGACCAACAACGAGGATCAGGAGAAAGAGTCCTGGGACTAAGAGCAGAGAGATGAGACTAGAAGGAGAAGGGAGTGGGGCAGAGTGAGGGAACAGGACCAACAACACACAGCACTAGTGCATAAACTAGTACAGACAAGTGCACAGAGTTTTGCAGGGACTGGCACCTTGCCTGGTCACCTGGGGCATGGTGTCACTGTCCAGTTCACATGGCTGGGTGTATCAGAGTATTTTCTGTATCTTGTATTTTGTGGAGGTCAAGGAAAGGACAACAGTATACAGGACCTGGAAAGCAGCTGCACTATTACAAGCACTGATGAAAGCAGCTGTTAGCCCGGTTTCTGTGTTTTTAAATATCCAGTGGTGCCAGTCTGAGATGTATTAAACAAGCCCACCCCATGTGGGCTTTTTGTTTTGTTTTCTGTGCATATCCCCACTTTGTACGTTTGCATTGTTTCAGGCCCTCCTGGTCCAAGGGGACCTAAAGGTGACAGAGGCCCTCAAGGTCCTCTTGGCCCCGCTGGCCTAAAAGGACAAAAAGGAGAGAAAGGAGAGCCTGGACCACCTGGACCTGCAGGTGAGAAGGGCCCACCTGGGCCAGCTGGGCCACCAGGAGAAAAAGGAGGGAAAGGTTCAAGAGGATCGCCTGGTTCCAAAGGTCAGAGAGGTTCTCCTGGCAAGACTGGTCTGCCTGGACCAAATGGAGACCCAGGGCCACCAGGGCCACCAGGCAAGGACGGTCCACCAGGGCCTCAAGGCCCACCTGGATTTCAAGGCCTGCAAGGAACAGTGGGAAGCCCAGGGTTACCAGGACCACGAGGAATAACTGGGCTCCCTGGGGTCCCTGGGCTGCCTGGTCCAAAAGGCCCACCTGGCCCACCGGGGCCGCCAGGCCCAGGGATGCCAATGGCGCTACAGAGTCAGCCTACGCCCGTGCCCGAGGCTAATGGTAAGCTATCACCACACTGCATGCTGTGCAGGGGAATGGCTTCCTCCATTTATTACTGGCCCTATCACTGCTCCCTTGAGTTACCAATAACAGGCTTAACACAAAAAAAATTCACATCACAGGTTGTTTCCCCCGTTGGAAGAACTATACAGAAAAGTGCTACTACTTTTCAACTGAAAGAGAAATTTTTGAAGATGCAAAGTTATTCTGTGAAGAGAAAGAATCACGCTTGGTTATCATCAACGACAAAGAGGAGCAGGTAATTACCTTCTCTTGCTGGTTTTCAAGGAGGAAGTTAGAAGCTGTTTAAGATGCAGAAACCACAAGATAGTGGGAAGCTGAGAGCACCATGAATTCATGTAGTGGAAGTAAACACATTGATTGACTCATTAGAATTGTGTCCACCCTGTGCCTGATCAGCATCTTCTCCCTGTGCAGAAGAGTAGTGTGAGCAGAACTGATGCTGACCCTGAAGGTGGTGGGAACAGAGCAGTCAGAAAAGCTGCTGAGAATTGTAGGAGTTTTGAACCTTTAAAGATGAAATCCATTACGCCTTGTGTGCTATCAAAGTATTTTTTGCAGCAGTGAATATAATTTAATTTTAAATTATCTGATTTAATACAAGCAGCCTAGGACTAGTATGACCCAAAAGTATCTTTAATCTAACTATGTTTTTAATACTATTCAACATGGCAGTGGAGATGTCAAGATACAATTTCTTACTCTTAGGGTTTTTTTCAATTTGTGTTGTAAGATATTAGCTGTGGCTTTATGGCAAGCCAATTTTCATGCCTAGCTCTCTCTACCTCATTGCAAACAATGAAAAGGATTCTAGTCTGGGCAAGGGGTCCAAAGGCCAACTCCTGAAACATATCTTCAGCTTAGAAAAATTTCTCTGGCCCACCGTATTCTAATAACAAGAGGCTTATGAAATCAGTGTAATTTATTGGTGCCATTGTCCTTGTTATGGACTAAGCTCTTTCTTTTACAGCAATGGATAAAAAGGCAGATTATTGGGAAAGGCAGCTTCTGGATTGGACTAACAGATACAGAGAAGGAAAATGAATGGAGATGGTTGGATGGATCCTTACCAGTTTACACGTACGTAAATAAAAAGCAATGCTGTCACCCTTGCTGACACTTCTAAAAGCAGCATCTAGAAATTATCTAATGAATCCAGATGGTTGTAGATGCCAATAATTTAATTTGTTACTGAGAGTGCTGGGGTTTTTTCTCTCTGCCTTCTCCATGCACAAGGATTCCTTTCCTTGCCAGAAAGAAAACTGAATGTTGAATGAAAGAATCACATAATTATGCAGCGCAGTATTTCTTGCCAAAACTTTTTCTTCTGACTTTTATTACAAAGTTGAGATGGAAAGCACAGTTTTACTGTTTTGGTTTGAATTTTCCTTATTTGCATTACAACTGGCTATAAATAGAGTACTCATTCTAATAAAAAATGACCAGTCTTTAGATAAAGCCCAAATCCAAGTGGAAAGCATTCAACACAAGGAAAATGCATGAAATGAGGGTGTCTATGCTTTGGCCAGCTGAGAACTGAATTGGCAGCTTTCCAGGAATCCTAGGGCTACACCTAATTTGTCCTAAATGGAACAGATTGCAACCACCCAAATTTTTAATACTGAGGAGTAGACTAAAGAGTTTATAGATCTTAACATGCTGTGCTTCAGAAAAACAGGCTACACAGTCAGTCAGATGTTACGAAATGATTAGCTGTGATCTCATTGGTGTTCATTTAGATGAAAAACATGGAAAAAGTCAGATTCATTTCAAATGAGCTGTAATATTTTCCCCTTTTTCTCCTTTCCCGTTTTCATCTTTCTTCCTCTTCATGGCAGCACTGTGACTGATCCTACTTAAGGTTCTGCTTTTAGTAGATTTCCACTGCACCATGGTTTTAGGTGCTCTGTCATAACCTCAAAGCTGTTGGTTACAGATTTTTGGAGTATTTCATTACTTCTGGAAAGCTGTGTGTCCTCCCAGGTGCCTGGTTGGACGCTCTATGTCAGGCAGGCATGTTTTTTAGCTGAGCATGGACTGTGCCAGCCAGCAATCACAAGCTCCCTTCAACAACCTGTTTCTTCAGGAAAATTGAGCTTTTAAATCCTGAGTTTGGAAGCATTTCTCACTCGTTAAACAAAAACAGGATGAGGAAACACTTGCTGCAAGATTTTTTGCTTGCTACCTTCACTTTCACCATCAAAGCTAACGATCTCAAAAGATGTGTGTAAATATACTGTGTGCATTTCTTAAAAGTCAGTAGAATTCCCTTCCCACCTGGGCATGTGTCCCTAAAACACATGGATCTTTGCTGTTCCTCCCAAGATGCCCACTTTTGGTGCAGTCAGAGAGCTTTGCAGTGAGCAAGGGCAGGCTGTTGCCATCTTGGCATGACCTCTGAGCCCGTGGGCTCTTCTGAGTCCCATCTGCCAGCGGGAATGCGGTGTGCAGGTTTTGCAGGCTTGGAGCAATGCACTTGGAGCACGGAGCGCTCCCACTGTGTGTGCATGTACACTCAGAAACTAAAATAAAGTTCATTGGTCTAAATTTAGGTCTCTGAGTTTTGGCAGCCTGAGGCTGAATAGATTCCCTTCTCTGTAATACATCTGTTTTCCATTTTCAGCAAGAGTCATGTATTGTTTGTTTCAATGTGTGTTTCCCGTTCAGAACAGATCTCATGATGTTTTTGTTAATTTCTTGTGGTGAAAACCTGCCATGTGTGCTGTGTTGTGCAATCATATCTCTTGCTTTTTTGTGGAAAGGAACTGGAAACCTGGGCAGCCTGATAACTGGGATCACGATCACGGGCCAGGGGAAGATTGTGCTGGGTTGATCTATGCTGGGCTCTGGAATGACTTCTACTGTGAAGATGTTAACAATTTCATTTGTGAAAAAGACATGGACAAAGGTAAGCAAGGCCCTTGGTTTGATTATTCCATCTTGCCCATAGTAAATGTCCTGCAGCTAGAGGTGAGATCTTGGCTAAATGCTACAGCAGTGCCTTGTTGAGGAAGAGGGGGAATCACATGTGGGGCACTTCTACTCAGATCCAGATGCAAATGCTGGATTTATTGCACTTGGAAAAAGCAGTCTCGAAGCTGGCTATAGCCCTGGAATGCCCAGAATCTTGACCATTTCCTGTAGGCTTTACACATGCCTAAAATTTTGGGCAAGATTTGGCACATGCTCCAGATCCTACACACACTGGAAGCTGCCTTTACAGGCTCACACAGCAGGGAAAGCTGGCCTTAGGGTGGCTCAGGAGCCAGTCTTCAAAAACCAGAAAATCTTTATTTTGAAAGTTTGTGCAATAGGAGGCAGTTGGTGAGTGCTGAGGAGATCTAAAAATTCCCATCACAGCTAGGAGATGTCCCATGGGACTGAGAAGCTGGGTCCATAGGCCATCAGCAGCTCATCCTGCAGCTGGAGTGAAGGACTCATAAATTGCTGGTGTGGCCAGCAGACAGCCAGGTGCTTGCCACAGGGCATCTCTCTCTGTTGACACAGGCATTTCTGCAGGAGCAGAGGGCAGGTGGTTCCCATGGCCACTTAGAGCCCGGCCCCATCACCACAGAACGTGGTCAAACGTGGCACAAAAGTGTTTGTGTTCATGGTGGGGCTCTGCCTGAAACATTATCTCCTCCACACAACCTGTTTAAACATTGCTCTGCCAAGGGTGCCTGGCTCCTCCAACTGGAAACCTGTTGGTTAAATTTCAGTGAAGGCAGACATAAATGTCAGCTAGAGCCAAAATTACATCCCATCCATAGTCCCCTAAGACAAAACTAAGTGCTGAACAAGCTTTGTGTGTGTAATTCTGTTTGGATGTCCAGGGTGAAGGACCATGTTAAAGTAACAATATGATTTACCCTGATTTTCCTACATACATTTGTTATTTTAAGAAAACTTAAAGGTTTACAAATATTTATCCTTCAGGACTTACAGGATCCGAGTACAAGTCTGCTCAAATTTTTTCCATACCTTGATCTCTGTAAGTTTTCCTTTTGGAAATATGTTTAATCTTCACAGGCTTTTTACAGGATTTCTTTTTCTCTTTTTCTTGTTTTCTCTCATACTGTAGGGCAACTTCTTGGAGTGTAATAGGCTGTAACTTTACAGATACCTTCGTATTAAGGAAATTTATGTAAAGAAGAAGAAAATCCTGGGAAAGAGCAACACTGACTTCCAAAATTGAAAAAAAATATGAAAACAGAAAAAAGCAAGCACTGAAAACTGATTTAAAAGCATCAAGGAATTCAGCAATAACTCTTCTACAGCATCCTGTAATTATTTAAGGCCTTTCGACCCTCAGCATCAGGAAATACTGTTGGACTAATTCTGTTTTAGATTTTCTTCCCAACCAGTAACCACATCCATAAGCAGCTTGTGTCTTCTGAGAAAAGACATTCTATCAATCTGAGTAAGACTGTTGGTCACTTATATCGAAAAACATATAATGCAGCTGTGTAAACAGTTGCTTAATTTGCTAAAATCCCAAATGTAGGAAAATTATACAGATACACGAATATATAGATTTTATATAAATATATATATATAGTCCAACTCTTATCAGTAATATGGAATATACTTTTAAGAGCTTTTAAAACTTTGTATTTTTGTACAAAATATTTGCTTTTTACAATTGTTCTCTTTTTTACTGACTTTTTTTACAAATATAGTGCACAGGGGCCAAAGAAAACAATAAAGGTACTAATAATTCATTAAGGTTTGCTGTCAGGCCTAGCTCAGCTATAGAGAAATATTTTTCCAGTTAGAAATATTTTTACTTTCCCAGATGATTTGTTCTGGTTAAATAACTTTTAAAGCAGATTTTAGATAGTGTTTTCCTTACTGTATGCAGTCTAGTCTGCATGTGTAACAATTAAGTTGACTAAGGACTAGATACTCATTATAGCTCTGATCACAGCCAGTGTTTCATTGGGGTACTATGGAAAGACCATTTTAATAAAAGACCTTCCTTCCTTCCTTCCTTCCTTCCTTCCTTCCTTCCTTCCTTCCTTCCTTCCTTCCTTCCTTCCTTCCTTCCTTCCTTCCTTCCTTCCTTCCTTCCTTCCTTCCTTCCTTCCTTCCTTCCTTCCTTCCTTCCTTCCTTCCTTCCTTCCTTCCTTCCTTCCTTCCTTCCTTCCTTCCTTCCTCCCTTCCTCCCTTCCTCCCTTCCTCCCTTCCTCCCTTCCTCCCTTCCTCCCTTCCTCCCTTCCTCCCTTCCTCTCTTCCTCCCTCCTTCCCTCCCTCCCTCTCAGGAGAAAATTCCATGGAGGTAAATCTCCAATTTTTAACAATCATTTAGAAATGTTTTCATTCCTTCTCCCTTCTTGTAAGGAATTCTACCCCAGTAGTTGCCACACATACTGCAGGTCAATCCCAGATGAGAGACTTTATGAAAAGAGAAACAAAGAAGCTGCACACACTGAAATATGTTTAAGGCAGATTTCAAGATTTGGTGAGAAAAACACGCCATACTCAGAAAGGTCTAATAAACTTGCACTTCTCCAAAGTGCTTTGTAAATTGATCTGTCTGTTTTCTTGGACTGGTACTTCTCTCCCAAACATAATAGAAAATAAAAAATGCTGCAAAGCAGAAAGAGATTATACCATTGCCCAGCCAGTTTCCTCCACAGTCCCATGAGCCATTGTCTAGGCAGTTTATCAGGAATTTTAAAAATTAGCGGGTTAATTCATTAGCAGAAACCTTGGTATTTGTTTCCAATTTTTATGTCCTTCTCATAGCCACATGCTCTACAATGAAGGAAGTTGTTTTGGCTTCTTGGGAAGGAGAGCTGTTTTTCCATTCCCTCCTGACCTGCCATTTACCTTGGCCAAATGCAGATATGTTTGTTGAAATACTCCAGCTCTGTTGGAAAGAGACAAGATTCTGTACTTCAGAGTTTCAAATATTGCTCCTAAGATAAATCAATTAAAGACTGCTGTTTTCCTACATCTCCCAGTCCTTCCAGTGTTTTAAATTTCAATTATATATTTTTTTTTAAATACAAAAAATGTTACATTTGAGAATCTGTCCTGTGGGTACAAATTAGATACGAGACAGGAATAACACAAAAATTGATTTATGTATTGCATAAAAGGGTTTATGTATTACAGCTGCAGAAACCCTGTGTCACCATTGTGGAGGCAGGGCTTGTCTTCAGACAGTCTGAATTTTGTGAGCCTTTTCTTTTCACAAGGTTTTGAACAGAACTTGATTCTGCCGTGCACTGTCATGCTGTACCAAGGAGTTGTGTGTAGGCACATGCATAGTGTTTACATATGTATTTACACATTGTCTGTGGAGATAATGTTAAACTGCTATTTTTTGATAATGAGGTACAGAACTAGTATTTTGTGTGCCCAGAGAGCCTCACAAACCCTGGTGAGTGGAGCCTTGAAGAGCCACACTGAAGTGGGACTGCTACCTTTGTTTTGAATGTTGGCTTATTTGGGTGAAATAAGCCCGTTTTGAGCATCTACCACATTAAATTACATTCTTTATGCTTTTTATTGATGTCACAGACTTCTGTCACCAAAAGAAGTGAATGAGAAACGTCTGTTTAAGCACAAGCTGTATTGCTTCCTTGCCCAGATTTCATCCCTCTCTTCCTTCAGCAACAGCAGTGATGGTACATACACAAGATCAGATTATCCAAGAATTATCAAGTGTCCCCCAGCCAGAGGAATGACAAGCTGAGGACACTGAGAAATGAGATGTGACTGGGCTCACACCCTCTGTTCACACACTTGAATCAAACACTGCAGCTGTTAGACAAAACTGGATGAAGAGGGATGCTGCAGTTGCATGCCTGATGTGGCCAGTCAACCTTAAAATATGGCCTGAGCAGCCAGGCATGCTGAGACAGACCATCCTTTTGACCTAGTATTCCTGCAGGAAGGAAACAGAGGTGTCCAATGGCAACAAGAATTGAAATCACTGAGAGGACCAAGAGTGTTAAAACAGCTCAGGAACATATCACAGAAAGGACAGATTGGCAGGAGCGCAAGCAGGACACCAGAATGGGCCAAGAAATTGTCATGAAAGTCACATCTGCCACTCCTTAATGGGAAAACATCCCCATCAAATCTTTCTGTATGGTTTGAGCAATAATGCAGGTTTTATGGAAATTTTTGAGTGATAGCAAATTATTATGTCCCAGCTTGAGTTTTGCTTCCTTCTTATAGATAAGTATTGTAACTTATCATACTGAGCACACATTCCCATCATCCTTCTTGTTTTACATAAAAATTAAATACAAGTTCATATACCCTGGCAAGCACTGGGACTGTTGGAAGAAAAAGAGGGAAAGGCAGAGAAGGTACAAAGTCATTGTGATTTACATTAAGTTCTGGATTTCTTAATGTCATTTCTGACTAGTTTCATTAATTTATTTGGAAATGCCTTCAGCTGATTAGAGCTTATAAATCTCAACTCTCATTTCTTTTGTTGTCTATGATTAATACTTGCAAATGTTCCAATAAAGGAATCACTAAGTGGAGACAGAAATTAATGTTGTTAACTCTGTGCATGTGTGTGTAACCAAGAGGGATGTGGAGATCAGAGGTATGTGGACCCAGAGCATTCACAGGTATTAAAAATCAAACTGATGAAGCTTTTTTCCATTAAAGCCTTCTTTTTCACTTACACCACCCTGGTTCTGAGCATGGCTGGGGCTATCTTATCCTGTAATTGCAGGTTTAGTGCCTTGTTCTTGCAGCACATTGGGGATAGGAACATGGTTTGGAAGGTCTGATCTGAACAAGACCTTTAAGAAGGGCTGAATCCCTTTGCTGCTTACTGTCCTAGCACACCAAACACCTCAGATGAGCCTCCAGGTGAGGGATGTCCTGAACTATGTTGCATCAGTCCCACATTAGCCATTATGATGGCTTAAATTGTCTGTTTATAATGGCTGATCTGGTCTTGCTATTCCTTTCTCTCTCAGACAGCTGACCTCCTCTTATAATTTTTTGTTCCTGGCAAGTAGCTACCCTGCTTTTAGCAAGTAGCAGGAACTGGTGTCTGATCAGTGGCAAGGCAAGGAGCTGGTCAGAGGGCAGCCACTGGCTGTGGGAAGAAACTGATCCACAAGGAGCAGGGGAAAGGTGGCTGAGTCGATTCACATGTGAGAAAACAAAACCACTTTTCCCCAGTGCAGGCTCCTTGCCCAAGAGCACAGCAGCTCACACATCTGTGGCATCCAAAGGGAACAAGCAGTCCCCAGCCTTGCTTTGTTTTTCCTCCCTCACTTCTGGTGTTCCCCAGAGCTCTTCCATGGCTCTTCCATGAGCTGTCCCCGGAGCAGGCTCTGCACTGCCCTGTGCAGGTGCTGGGGCTCACCCAGGTGAGAGGCCAGCAGTGGGACAGCTGCCCATGCCTGGCACTGCCCCCAGCTGGGACACCCTGGGCTCCCCAGGGCTTGGGCAGGAGCTGGAGAAGGAAGTTCCCAGTGCTTACCCACACTCAGAGATACCTTGGGCATCTATAAATGGGATAGTAAACTGCCTTACAGACAAAACCCTTGCTCCCCAGAAACCAGAGCCTATTTGTTCATTCACAATCTCCACTGCATTTTTTCCATGTTGTTTACTGGAAAAAAAAATTCTAAAAACTTGGCTAAAATTTTTGTTAAAGTTCTCATCTGTTTTCTTTCATATGGTAGAATACGTTTGTTTTTTCTTCCCATCTGGCTCAGAGATGAAAAAACATTCTTTGATTTCTTTTTCAAAATAAACTCAGTGTAACACTATGAAGTTTGTGTGGAGATGTTTGGGGATTTTTTTAGACCAAAACAATAAAAGCAAATTACCAGGAAAATAATGCCCTTTTTGGAGAAGATCTTGCATGCCATGATGATTTTCTTACCCAAGGAACTTCCCAGAAGCAAGTAAGTATTGCCAGCTCCATTTTGTGACTGGAAGAAAAAGGAGATTTTCAAGAATGTGACTCATTTTGATGTCTCATTTTAAAGATTTTGTTTATCAGGTAGGTGGTTTTTAGAAGTGACTTTTTCCAGTGAAACCAACATTGACATACAGCAAATTATTTTTCATACACCTTAGTAAGGAGGGTGGGCTTTACAATGCTAAATTAAACAGTGGGGTATCCTTCCCTCATCACCCTGCACACGGGAGGCAGCCATTTCTGCTGCTATTTGGAGAGCAGAGCTCAGTGTGATCACAGCAGAGGAACACCAGCAGAGTGTTGTGGTGTGATGTCCATCCTGTCCATCCCGGTTCTTTACCCAGGTGTGCCAATACCCTCTCCCTTCCCCTCCCCTTGCCCCCTTGCTAAGTGCTGTCCATCAATCTTGGCATTCCAGCTAGGGTGTTCTGTGACTGGCGAAGTTCAAAAGATGCCTCTCAGCCCTGGGGACATTGGGCCATCCAGGTGCCACTTGTCCCCTGAGACTCCCCCCCCCTTACCTGGTGGGTGGGATCCCTACCCCTTCCCTCCCCCTCTCCCTGGGGTTAAAAGACACAGCAACCACGGAGTTCAGTTGTTCTGTTGGAGCTGTTGCAGCATTCAGAGGTCTGTGTGCCTGGAATAAAGTTCTGGATCAAAACCCTCCAGCAGAACCCGACTCCTTTTTCCTTCACCTCGCCTTGAAGCCTCTCCACCAGAGGTAAACCTGAGCTCCTGCATGCCTGGACTTGTCCCAAGCGCCCAGCTGCAGCATCCAGCCAGGCAAAGGTGTCTCTGAGGTGAAACCACCACAGCTGCTGCCCTTGGTCAAGCAGCAAGGGCCAGACGAGCCCAGGCACGTTCCATCTGGCAATATTGGTATTTAATTCCAATAGCAGAGTATAGCAATGTCCCGTGTGGGTAAGAGTTAACACCTGACATTAAATTACCAAGAGACCCTTTAGTCAGAAACAAGAAGGTTAAAGGACTGCTGAGACCTCTGACTCCTCTGCAACTTCAATAAATCTTCCCAAAACCATACCAACTTATATTTTAAAAATAATTATGGGTTGCTTTATCCCTTTAATAATTTTGGCTGCTCTTCAAAAACTTTATTAGGAATCTTCTTTTAATAACCAGTGTTAATGCAATTATGTCCAGTTTAGACACATTTGTTCTGGTTCCAGTGCTGTCCTTTAGCTTAAACAGCATCTCTCCTGAGACTGTCAAGTAATTGTACTGGTCAGTGTGGAGCCATTCATCTTGAGACACAGTACGGGGTGGTTGGGAACAAACACATCCCTCTGACCAGCTGGGGAGCCCTGATGACAGAGCCTGGCTCTGATCCCACCATCCAGCCCACAAGGGATTATCTGAGGACACTCTGGGCATCTTGATGAATGGTGGAAGTTTCCATACTCATTTTTTGTTAGTGTTGCAAGAGAGCAGAGAGCAACAACACGAGTATAGAGGGTGGTTTCCCGCTGAATTAGAGCAGGTTGCAAGTGCCTGTCTTTTTATAAGGCAGTAACACATTTTATAAGGCATTTGAAAGATCAGTCTGTGTATCTGAGCTTAAGCACACTTATTCTGGGTTTACACCAGTGCAGAATCTAAATTCAAGTTATACCTAGGTCCTTGTTCTTCAAGAGATTAAAATCTCTAATTCAGAGATTAGTGTGTGACTTCTACTTTTTCTATCTGTCCTGCCAAGGCACAAATCCCCAGCTCAGGCATCAGTGTGATTCCAAGCTCAAAGGATTGCTTCCAAACTTCCCGTGGTTGCAGTCATGCTCCTGCCAGCCCTGCCAGAGGTCCTGCTGATGGAAGCTAGAAATCTAAAATGTGACTTTGGAAGGATTTTGTTTAGGAATCCTTCTCATTCAGAAGTCTGGGCATATTGCAAAGATGACATTTCTTTAATTCCATCTCTATTACTCACACCCATATAAAACAGATGATGAAACATTTTTCTGAATGGCAACAATGTATTTTTGTCCACTTTGGTTTATTATGTCAAAATAAAAGACTGGAAATTAAAATCAGACAAAGTATCCTTGGCATTGCAGTATCTCACTGTAGCAGGCAAATAATGTTCCTGGATTATTGCCTGTGAGAACAGCACAAACTGCTATCTGAACAACAGACAGCTTCATGCTATCTGCTGGCAGAAGCAAACTTACCTACAGGCACAGCCTTGTCACTGGCCCATCATCTGGCAGACTGGGGCAACCCTGCTTTCCTGCTGTGCTTCAAAGAAACTGTAGGAAACAAGAAAGAGAAAAGGTCAAGTGAGAAGAGCTGACGACAGAAGGGGAACAGAATAAAATAGAAAGGGACAGCTCAGGGAGTAGTAGAAAAAAATACAGAGAATGATTGAGGAGTATAATGAACCCTGATGTCCTCATTGTGGTTTCTAGTAAGATCAACCACAGAGGAGCTCTCTTCTCAGAAACAACATAACAGGGGCAGTGTCGTGGTTCTCGTAATTCCCACTCTCAGCTGTGAAAAGAACACATCCCTGCCTTGCAAGAGAGGCATGTCATTCAGTTGGTGCCTGAAGTCATGTCATACTTTCCCAGCACAAACAAAAATTCCTGGTGGCTCCAGGTCTTCTGGGAGCTGGGTTGAGGCTTTTGTTTTGGTGGTTGGTTGGTTTTTCCTACGTGTCCTTTTCCTCCTACACAAGTTTTGAAACACAGAATATTTTCTAGTTTTCCATCTGTATTAGAAGTACAAAACTCAACTTTGAAAGAAAGAACAAAAGCAAGAACTTACAGTAGGTCTCCAAGCAACAAAACACTGTCTGCAGTGGAAAATATGTCCACAGCAGTATTTGTAGCTCCCATTTTTATACTAAATTCTCATTGGTATCAACATTTGAACAGGTGCACTTTGTGAAATCAAACATGGATCTTTAATAAACAAGAGCTGCAGAAATGTACATATGCTGAAAAAGGGGATACAAAGAGGAGGTACCTTCATTTTTAAAAAAAGAGAGTTGCTGAATTTGAAAACCAGAGACACTTCAATCCTAAATACCCTTGAATTTGCTTTAATGGTAGCATTTTTAAATGACCAATTGCTGATTTTCTCCAATTTTTAACTTTAAGATGCAGAAGTTGGGGACTCTCAGCAGTCACCAGCTGATGATTTCATAGAAAAAAAAAAAAACCTAATTTCAAAGGCAGATTGGATCTCTGGATACCATTTTATCCAGATTAGCCATGTTAGGAGAGGGAAGGTGGTCAAAAGTCCAGGTCAGGAGTCTCCACTAGGTGAATTAACTCTTTTTGTGGAGAAGGAGAGCACTTTATTTATTTCAGGTCTTATGAGGTCTCCCAGTCTGCATCCATCTTGTGACATCTTACATATGAGGAAATTCTAAAAATAAAATAAAGCAAGAAAAACCACAGGCAGAACAGCTGTTGTTCTACCCAGACAAAGCTTTGAATTAAAGCCATTATGAAGGACCAGACTCTGCAATTGAAAAGCCATTTACATTTCCAAGTCTGATTCCAACTGCAAATCTTCAGTTATATATATGACAGATTAAAAGACTCTGGCCTCACTGCACTTCTCCCTGGCAAGAGAAAAACCATCTGTACAGCATAGCTTGTGGTTGCTTCAACTCTGTAGGTACAATTTTCTAAAGGACATGGTGATATATTTTTTCATTTCCCTTCCCTTTATTTTAGCATGCAGCAAAATCACGTGCATGGCATTTTTCCCAACCCTGTGGTAGCTGGGACTCTGGCTCAGGAGACTGATTTGTTTTGATTTGCTCTTTTCCCTTAATCTGAGAGGCTACTGCACTATTTCCTTTGTGATCATACCAGCCAGGGTAAAAACTTTGTATGAATATGTGGCTGTGAAAGCAGGAAAAAGAGCCAGGAATACTGCTTTCTTTCCAAGCACAGAGAGACAGTGAAAATGAGTGTACACCATGTAATAGGCTGCACAAACCCATCTGGAACTGGCTCCTGCAGCACTCTGGCCATGCTCTGGGCTACTCACACCACAGGTATGGGATGAGGAATGACAGTCCTTCCACATGGAATGCCAAGAACGAGCTTCCTGGAGCCCAGGCAAGCCTTGTTTTGACACTTAAATCTCCATTTGAGAAGTACATGGCTCTTGGACCACAGTTGATGGAGGCAGCTCTCCCCTTTCACTGCTGATACTGCAGCCAGAGGTGTTCCCATGCTCAAAGACCCCAGATAACACTGGGTCAAGCTTTTTTCCAATGCACATGCAGCATCTTGCAAGGTACAGCCCTAATTATTGAACATTTTGAAAAAGAAGTTGAAGAAATCAGGTGAAGAAGCTGAAGTTCTGCTGGGAAAACAAAAACAAAAATAGAAACTACACCAAACCTAGAACAGGTAAATTATTTTATCATTAGCTAAAAATACAAGTAGAGATTAGGGAAAACAAATTATTTGTTGTAATTTATTGTCAGTGTGACCAGGGCTGTCAGGCACTGGGAGGGAGTGCACACCACATGCTTCTCCTTCACATGAGATGACACATCTGAGAAGACACCAAGTATAATACCTGTGGGAGGACAGAATCAGACCCATTGCTTCTGTTCAAAAGGGATTGCTGCCTGAGAATGAAAAACCAAGAGGAAGGGATTTATTCAGACATTTACTTTTGGTGCTTTACTGCTCAGGGCTATCTTCTCCCACTGCCAAGGGCATGGTTGCCAGCTGTGCCAGATATGCCACCCTGTGTGAACACCTCAGCCACCCCACAGAACCTGTGACAGCAGGGTGCTCACCAGCACACCACCAATGCCATCCAGCATCACATACAACCTGGACCTCATTTGGTGTGGTTCATATAATAACAACTATATAATGGCACAAACGTGAAATTCTAGAGCATGAAGTGTGTGCACTTGAAAAATATATTATTTGAAACATCAGCTAAAGGACTTTTGAGTTGCCTTCTAATCCTAACTAATATATCAGAGCAAATTATGTCATTTATGTGCCAACCAGAAAGAGAAGGAAAAAATCTTAGAGAGCATTGTGGTGAGTATAACACTTAACTTCAGAATTTGAATTTAATGGAGCAGCAGTTTTTTCTAGTAGTACTCATACCATGGTTGTGAGATTTTAAATAGACTGTCCCATGCCCTTATCTGAATGCCACTGTAGTTTAGGTTACAGAAGTTAGAGGTATATCAATGTTTTTCCAGGAAATTAGGTGGAATTTGCCCTGTGCTTTAAAAACTCAATAGCCTGGCAACAGAGGATTTACCCAGCAGATGTCCATCCCTCTATTCACAGATTCTCTGCAAACACACTCAGGCTATAGAGTCCTTTCTCCAGGGGAGTCAACCAGATTAAATCCTGCCACTGTCATGCAAGGTTTCTATGTGTAGCGGTCTGTCACAAAAACAGTTCATTTTTCTTCCTTGCTTGTCAGATTTCTTTTTTACTAAATAAAACAGTATTTTGCTGTAAAGTCTGAGGCTGGCAGGGTTGTAGGAGATATGAGTACTACCATCAGTTTTCTTGATGACATTTGGCAAAGATCTAACGACCTGGGGTGGTAAATCACTTAAATTTTTGCTTGGCTTTAAACAGATCATTGGTCCTATTCATCAATGTCTAAGACTCTTCAACCCAGTTTCTCTCACTATTCACTAGAGATGCTGATGATTTTTTTCAACCAAAGAACAGTTCTGTGAGCATTCCCACAGAAACACTTGCAAAATACTTTAAGAAAGTTGGCTGAAAGATGGAGTAGAAGTATAAACACACAGAAAAGATGCACTAGTTCACAAGATATTTGTAACTGACTAAGGAAAACAACCCTTCTGCCTCCTTTACAAAACAGACAGCAGCTGACCAAAGCAATTACTGCTTCTCCTTACATGAAAGGCTTATACTGAGTAGACAGAATTTAGGGGGTTAGATTTAAGAACAGGACTCTCTGAGGTCGACTCTATCCCTCCTTTTGTAAAAGCAGCAAAAATGTTGTGCTATATCTGTAGAGAAAAATCTTAACTTGCACTGTTGCCATATATACTACAAAACTAAGGTCTACCAGCCCCTACCTGTGAGAACAGTGGCACAGGTAGTGAGATGTGGCAACACTGACTAGCTGCAAGCAACATCACCACTGCTCCAGGAAGATTGATCCCACCACCAACACCTCCCAATTTCCCCTTTGCCAAATGCCCCCAGCTCAAAAAGCTGGGATAAGATTTGTGTGTACTGCTTGCTCTGCTTCAGATGGCCTTTCTTGCAACACATCTTTCTCTGATTTACACTTTTCTCATGTGAAGAAGCCACAGAAGTTTTAAAACATTTTTAGATCTACAGCTTCACCAAGAAAATGGCCCTGCTGCCTGCTCTTGAAACAAAAAATAATCTTCCAGACATGGATTTTAAAGGAAGACTCCATGTGGTTATATTTAGTCTCTCTAGAGTCTAATAGATACCTGAATAATCTTAGGAACCTTCAGTGAATACTTTGGAAAATTATTACTGTTCCCTTGGGTAACCCAGGGAAGTAATTTATATGTGAAACTTAAGTAGGTGAGTTATATATAATATGAAACAATGTGATTGATAGAAAGCTGTAGTCAGGTGTTATATTTTGTCATTTGGGTATTTTATCTTCAGGTTAGAAACCATACTGTTACCTGAGCATCCCTACTGCTGTGAAGTACAGTGGCACCTCAGATTACTAACCCTACCTAAAAATTTAGGGGGAAATATATTTTGTTTGGTGTACTGACTTTGAGCGTTAAGCAACTCTCTGCACATATTTCTCCACGAAATGAGTTCTCTTTTTTTTTCCTCCCACCTGCTCTTAAGGAGTGCAGAACAACATGAAAACAAGGAGAAAATGTACCACAGTGTCACTTAAACTGGCACTTAGAGTCAAGGGAAAGTAAAGAAAGGAAAACTAATTCCAGAGTCTCCTTCCCCTTCAACTTCTTCCCCAAGAGTCAGGGGAAATTTTGTGTGGTAGTGAATGCTCTCCTTCAGCTGTTTGCCCAGATCCCAAAGTTCAGGAAAGCACAGGAACTTGCCTAGGAATTTTTCTTTGGAGCTACCTCCATGCTTAAAATATATGCTAGCAGACCGTATAATTGACAATGATCTAGTGAAATCTTGATCCTGAATTGTTTTTACAAATCTGTTGCTGTCACACCTCTGAGCACCAGCTCCAACCACTGATTTAAAATCCAAAACCATAGCTCAGGGGCTCAGTTTCTTATGCTGCCATACTAACACTCTCATTTTAATCACATAATTGTGAAATTCCTCAACAATAAAAAGGCCAGTGGCCAGTAACTATGCCAAAGTATTAGAATAGTTAGAGAATTTAAGTCTCATTATGAAGAATTCAATACCAAATGTAGCGAGGAAACTGAAATTTTTAATATAATGATTGTGAATACACAAAGAATCCAGACTTGTGAGAGTCTGAGGAACCAGCTAACTAAGGAGAGGAATCACAGTGACATTGCAGGTACTGCAGTGTTAGATGTATCTCTTGATACATGCAGTTTGCAATCAGGTTTCATGGTTCTCTGTCTCAGGACCATTACCAAGTCCCAGAAAAAGCGAGAGGGTTGATCAAATTTTTCTTCAGTTTTGTAAGAAGCATCTAAGGTCAGCAGACATCTGGAAAAGCAACAGGTGTGAGATTATCTTGAGCAAGTCAATTTAGCCATTACTTCTAGGCTGTAGCCTGCTGAAGGGTGGGTGTGTGCAAGCATCCTGCCAGTATGCTGGTCTGCTCCACTTGCCAGAACACAGCACAAGTGAAGTAGGGGAGATCATTGAGTTATTTCTGTCATTGAGATCCATCCCATCTAATTTATGGTACTTAACCGAGTGCCTAAGAGATAAGCATACTTGTCCTAGGCTCTCTGTAAGGGCAATAGACCACCACAGTGTCACTTTCTCACCTAAATCCTGAAACACCCCTTTATTTTATCAGAAGATGTGTTTATGAAGGCTGGGATCCTCACTTAGTTCCACACATGACAGGGATCTGGCCTTATTGAAGGAACAGAGCTATTTATGAGATCTAAAACTGAATACAAATTAGTAGGTCTTCTACTCCTTACCTTTCATCTCAATGCATCGGAGCCTGCCATTCCTACATCTTTTGCAGGAGTGACGTTCCAGAGCTTAGCTTCAAGGCTTTTCATCTAGGAGGTACCCAAGAAAAAAAACAGCCTTACCATTCTACCCAGTGATGACTAGGGACATCTTTTGAGCAGTCTCAGAGCCTAAGAGGGCTCTGCTATCAACCAATACCATTTTGCCATTGTGGGTATTAGCGTTCTCTTTTTTTGTTTGTTGTCGCTTGGGTTGATTCTCCTGCTGGAAAACTAGAGAAGACTTTCCATGAGTGGCAGCAACCTGCTTGCCACATGTTATGGTCACACAGGATATGAGGAGCCCTTGGAAAGGAGTTTGGTTGCATCACCATAGTGGGTTGCATCATGGCAACAACACTTGATCTTCTGGACCTGCACTGTATTCTTCCACCTAGAGAAACAGCTCACCTTGGCGAAGGTGTGGATGAATATGCATGTTAGAGTGAGGGTAAAGAACTTTAGGTTTGCTACAAATTGCAATGTTCAAGAACACTGGATCTCTCCATGAGCTTTCTCCAGTACTATATGACAAGCAAGGCTGCCTGGAAAAAGACAGCTTCTAATAGCAGCAAGCACTTGGAGAAAACTGACAAAAATGTTAACACTCCACTGATTCCAAGTCTGTTCAGATGTTTTGATTGAACAAGCTATACTTCCAAATGCCTCTCCATACTTCAGTAGGTGAACTGTGTTTTGTAGTTAGATAGTTGCAGTAAGGGAATGTTCAAAACAAGAAAACCTCTGGGGCATTTATATCATGGGGAGGCATATTGATATTGCAGCGATTTTAAAGTGACTGGTTTCTCTAAAGCAATAAGAGTGACTAATTTCCCTTTCAATGAATCCACATATGCTCAGTTCTCAGGTTTTGAAAGGCAGCCAAAGAAACATTCTTTCAGGCTTTAAGTTGATACAAACAAAGTATAACAGAGAGCCCCAATAGCAAAGTTTATCAATGACACATGCCTTAGTTAGAATTTACACACGGACATGGCTGGATTTTTTCACTTTGTTTTCAGATGGTTCTTAAAGAATGTCATCAGTTGCCATAGGCTGGCAGTTTCCAGCCACAATCCATCTGAGAGGGGGACACAAAACCCCCTTGCATGGACAATCTAAAATGACATTTGGAGAGCAGGAGGCTGAGGTGAAACACAGGTCCCCAAAAGCAAGGTACTTTACAAACTTCAATTTGGGTATGGAGAACGTATGGGTTTTGCAGTGTTGAAAAAAACCAACCCAAAGCAAAACCCAAACACAGATTTACTAAAAAGGAATATATTCATAAAGTGAGCTGGGAGATGTAACGTGTACAATTTGCTGCTCGTCCTCCCTATGCTTTTTGGGTTTTTTTTCAAGTATCTTAATAAAATTGTTACCTGTTGACCTTACATATTTTAAGATACTATACTGAATTTCACTACATTTTTTAAAACATTTTCCCATTCTTTCTTTATTCTTTGTCAAGGAGAACCAACATGTGAGAACAGCGCATACTGATCATGCAGCAACTGCTCCAGAGGATCCCCTCTTGTAAATTATACCCTGTGCTGAAGTACAGAAGAGATACAGCAGAGTGCAATAATTTCTGATATAAAAACTTCACCCAGATAGTTTTCCTCGTTTGGGGAGATTTTTGGATGAATTCCTGCTATGCAGCCTTAGCAGGGCTTTTCCTGATTGCATCTCTGTAGCTTGAAATACAAGAGTTGATTCCTTTTTTTCCTCTTGTCTATGCATGTCAGAGGTTATTTGGACTGGACTAGACACTGGTGGGGACCATTTCCTCATTAACCAAGCTCCACACAGAGAACTATTTGGCACACAAATTAAAACAATTGCAGCATGGTGAATTTCTTCCAAAGCAGGCTGAACATTTGAGTTAAGATAGGCTCTCCCTGCTTTAGCTTATTTTATTCCTCCAAGGGTTCCTTCTCTCCCTCTCCACTGAGACCAAGCTCACCCTCCAGCACTCATAATTCTGACCCCTTCTTACCCTTTACTCCCACTTCCTTCCCCTTAAGGATGGGTCATCACACTCCCTCCATTCACCTATCTTTCTGGGATTCTCCCTCTCTTGTCTTCTTATTCTAACTTTCTTGACTTCTTCCTTATTACCCCAGTGCTGGATTGCTGGGTATCTTTGCTCTCTCTTTTCAAATTTTCGTCAAAGAAAAGCTTGTTTTCAAAAGTTTACGATCAGAATTAGTTGCCTGCCTCTTCCACTGGCTTTTGTATGGTTTTTTATGTGTATGTTTGAACTAGAAGTTCTTTGGGGCAGAGCTGTATTTTTTCTGAATATTAACAAGGAAGGTCAAAAAGAAGATGACAAGGAGGTAGGAATGAGCTTCAGAAGTGCAATCCACAGGAACTGAATTTGCAAAAATGGTATCATTTTTCAGTCATATATCATTTTCATATCATTTTCAGCATAATCACAAAACAACAACAATTCATACCAGAATTCATTCAGAATTCATACCATTGGCAGACGTGAAAGCAACCCCAGGCACTTGTGGTATAGAAGCATAGATATCTGGTCCAGAAGATGTCTTCCTGCATTCTTTAATAACTAAGTTTGACATTATAATGCACTCATGAATTCAATTAAAGGGGTTCCATGTCAGAGTATGCTCAAAATGAGAGGCACATTGTGAGGAAATTTCAGCTTAAAAAATGTCCAACTAATCCAAGTTCTCTGCTGAAATCACAGTAGCATTGTTAGGTTAGAATCCAAAAAATATTGCTACGTGATGGGAAGAGTTGTTGATAGCATGGTTTTTGTGAGTAGCATCCATATTGTGAGACCTTGCTCTTGAAAAAAATGCCAGATTTCCATAGTCCTAGTAGCACACAGACAGGAATTTTAGTAAATTCTTTTGGCAACCCCCCCCCATTCTCTACACTGGGATAAAAAAAACAATATACAGTAAACACTTTTGCAAGTTTTTGACTCTAAGGTCAAATCCCTGGTCTTGGTCCTTTAAGTCCTTAGTGGGCCATTTGACAATCATTGCTGTTTGTGACCATACTTCCATCTACCTGTAGATATAAATTGATATAAATAAAGTATAATACCTGGCAGTATTCCAGGTGTTGTATGCCAGCAAGTCCCATGTCCCAGATAAAAGATGAGGAGCAGAAAAATCAGTCATTCTCAGATTCACATGTGAAGCAGTCTTCTAGGTGAAACTGGGTAAATGAACCCTTCTTGGGCACCCTTACCAAATTATTTGAAAATGCCACCAAAATACAAAATATATCAGTAAAACATTTCTGCTGTAACTGGTACAAGAGAACAGGATCATATGGTATATAACCCCCAGCAATTTATTCAATAAATCAAGAGGAAACCCTGAAAGTATTCAATGCACCAGAAAATCACCATGAGATTCAACAAACATAAAACTTATATGTATATTCTGGTGAAAAGTGTAATACACTAATAAAATGCAGAAAGATTCTCTATTATTCACTTTATTAAAATGTTATTTAAATTTTCCTGAGGGGCTGTGCTTTGTGTTAATCTAGCTTCTCCTTCGTCAGTCCACACATTATTAATTGTATCTCACAGTCAGTAACAAGCTACAGTGGCTGGCAGGATGCCACCTTAAAATTAAGTGCCTAAGGTGGGACACCTTGTATTCATCAATGTTTAAAAGATAAAACTGCCTTGTGCAACTTCCCATGACTGGTGTGGAAATAACAGGTAAGCTATTTAAAGCAGGTTCCTAAGGCAATTTATCCACCTTTCATGCCTGTAGTTCTACACTGGAGGGTGTGCAAGGTGGTGGGGAAGGAAGTGGGTTGAGAAGAAAAGCACTTAAGCATGAGGGTTGGCAACAAGGAGTGAGAACAAAGCACTAAGCCCTCGTGCCATCAGAGATGGGAAGCTGAGGAGTCTCCATTCTGCAGGAATGGTAACAGAAATTAAAATGGAAACTCAGATTGGTCTTGGAACAGGATTTTACTCCAAAGGACAGCATCTGGGTGAAGTTTTTGTAATTCCATCTACACAGCCTCTTGACACAAGAAGACAGAACACCTGTTCTATCAACTGACCTCTGAGTACAGTGGTGTCCTGAGATACTGTTGCTGTTGATTGCTTTCATCCATCTGAGCTTTCAGCTGCTAATAGGTTTACATTTGGGCTGAAAAATTATTTTGCTTATAGTACTTTTACAGAAAGCAATATTTACTTCTTTTTTCCCCCCTTAGCTTCCCACTTAGCACATACTAGAAGACACAGCTTTTTCTAACATACTGCTATCGAATTCATAATTAGCTACATTAATAATATCACTCGGTCCTCTTTATATCCAGGATAACTGTGGCATTTTAATTTACAGGTATGCAGCACTACTCCTCTGATTGAGTTTCTGACCCCCAAAACCAGATTTTGCCTGGCAGCCCAGAGCAGAGTTTGGCACCTCTGTTAAGGAGGTGATGAGGATGGCCCCAAGCGATGCTGTCAGATGTTGCACGGTGACTCCACCACGTGGCAAGCAGAAGTGCCACGCTGCTGAGCTTTTCTTTGACCATAAATTGCCGTGGAAGGGGCGGTCTCTGCCCGGGGCGTGCAGCAGCTGCTGGGGCGAGAACTTCTTCAGGCACTGCAGCCTCATCTGTCCACAACCCAACACGAGCACTAACAGCCCCGCGTTCATCCCCACCTCTCCAGGAGAAAGTAACTAACGCCGTTCCAAACAGGAAAAGCTCGGTATAGAACAAGAGGTGGCTATAAATCACCATTAAATCACACTGTTCTTCCTCTTTATCTGTTCCTACCCCAAGAAAAAAAAAACTCCTCAGTCATGTCGTATTCATTAACAAACATACTGCACTGCTTTTTTCCAGTATGTTGGCAGTTCTTCTCTCTGTTCATCTAAAACCTTAGTTTTGGAATATTTCTAGTCAAAAAAGACTATTTTCTTTAGCAGTATCTCCTTAGAATACTTCTACTTTCACTTTCTACCATCATTTTAAAGTTTAAAGCTTTTTTTATAACCAATTCAGAGAGCTCTTCTTGGGTTCTCTTTCTTACAGCACGAGATGGGGGCTAGAATAATCTCACATTATTCATTGAGAGTGGCCCTTTATTCAGCTGATAATATGATTTAATTTATATAAAGTAAGAGATGAGAAATGGGTGGGGGGGGGGGAAGTCAACTTTCTCCCAAGCCTGAATGAACGACATTCAGCAAGTCTCATAGCACACGCAGGTGACTCAGACAGACAGACAGACAGACAGATCATGTGGAGCCTGTTTTCAATGTTATGGAGCCCCTTCCCCATGGTCTGACATGAACTGGCATGGCTCTGGCATAGCCCCCATTTTTCAGGCCGTGTCAAACAATGGTTTCGGTTACAGATGAGGTGACAAGCTCTGGGCTGGCAGGGTGCCTCCACCTCCCCAGCAGCGGAGCAGCGCCTGGAACCGGCCCCCCAAGCGCGGCTCAAGCTGCCCCTCCCGCTGCACCTTCCTCTTCTGGGCAAACACTTCCCTCTCCCGGTACAAAAGATAACTACAGCCACACCATTAAAAAAAACCCACATATTTCCATCTATCCTTTCATGCGTTACTTTAAATATTTGCATTTAATTTAATAAATTTAATTTTAAAATTACTCGCCTCTTCCCATATGAATGGATGTTTGAGCTTTTTCCCCACCTATGAACAAGAGTCTGGCAGCACCTGTGCTTTTGGCCAGACACCAACATCCCTTCTAACCCAAACAATTCCATGATTCTGATCCTATCATCATGATAAATATAATTTCTGCTGGAAATATTTCTGTCACCCAGGAGGTATCTGTAGAATATTGCTCAACCTGTAAATTGTCAGCACTGAGGTGATTTTACTGATGACATAAACAAGTCCCTAATAATTTTTACTTCAGTGATAGTTTGAAAATGGTGGCAGACTGTGGTCTAGGGCTGTTTATCAGGAAAAAAGAATAACCAACAGCTACAGCTGTAGAGTCATTTCTACTTTAGCAATAGTGAAATGTGAAAGGTCTGGGCACAAGTCTGATGAGGAGAGGCTGATGGAGCAGGGGTTGCTTAGCCTGGAGAAAAGGAGGCGCAGGTTGTTGTTCTAAATAGGTTATTTCACCTGATATTCAAGAAGCCAATCCACAAGCTGAGTCGAGGTATTTACAGCCCCAAGCAGACAGGGCTGCTGAGTGGCAAATCCACAAAGCCTGCACACTGACTACCAGGATGTTTAACTATTTATACATTTTAGCAAACAAAGGTACTAATGCTCACTGGCTACAAGTTACGTAGTTCTCTTATTAATTTGTATTCTATCTCCTGTTGGTTAAATAATTCCCTTATTCTCATGCTAATTAGTCTGTATGGTCAGGCCTTCTCCTAAATTGGTGGGTTTCTCGATTCCATGAGCCACAATCTCCCTGTCAGAATTACCTTTTACCCAGCTCCAGCCAATTCCAGCACAGCTGCAGAGTTGGTTTTGGTAATTCCATCCTTACCTCAGGAGTTCTGCCAAACGTTCTGGTGGCTTGTAAATTCTGCATCCTTTTGTGTCCACTGTGAAAAACACCAATCACTTGCTTTTAAAATTTTAAAAGTTTAATAGTAATAAAATGGTTATAATTATATGAGTAATATAATTAGAGTAATAAAAATGTGGAAAATTGTGATTAGGACAATACGAGACAATAAGAACAAAGAGTTACACACGGTCCAGGTACCTTTTCTGGGCAAAATAAGCCCAAAAAAGGACACACGTTAACAGAGGACTAACCCTTAAAAACAATAGCTTGTTGCATATTCATACACCTCATACACGATGCATAAATTCCATTCAAACAAAGGATTCTATCTGGTCAGTGTCAGCTTCTTCCTATTAATCCTGGCGGCGTCTGCAGAGCTGAGTGAGGCAGGAAGAGTTTGTTTCTTCTGAAAATGGAGCAATAAATTCTTTTTTCTTGGAAAGATTTAGGTGTCCTGTGGCTGCTATCTGGTGCAAGTACCTCATTCCTTTCTTAAAAAAAACATCTCACATATATAGTTTCTATTTTAACATTATGTTATAACCTAAAGCTATATTTAACGCACTACTTTAAAAAATTAATACGGCATAACTTTCTAACATAACACATATAATATTCATTTTAATATTTGCGAAAAGCCAATCATATAATACACATTTTTCACATCCACTCTCAGTGCTATCTCCTTCTCCCCAAGCTTTGTTAACCTCCCTGCATCCGAGATCATTGAAACATGTCAAATACTAAACTTTATCAAGCCAATTCTGCCGACAAATATTAAATGCAAATATTTATCCTTCTAACACCTGCACACCGAAGGAAGCCCTCATCACCCCTACAACACCTCAGAGGAGGCTGTGGCCGGCTGGGGTCGGCCTCTCCTCCCCGACAACAAGTGACAGGACAAGAGCAATGGCCTCAGGTTGTGCCAGGGGAGGTTCAGGCCGGATATCAGGAAGAATCGCCTCACAGGAAGGGCTGCCAAGCATTGGAACAGCCTGCCCGAGGAAGCGGTGGAGCCACCATACCTGGATGTTTGGGTGGCGGGCCTGGCAGCGCCGGGTTAGCGGTTGGACCCGGCCATCACGGAAGTGTTTCCCGACCCAAAGCCCGGCTCAACCCGGTATTCCCAGGACCGTCCCGCTCCCAGAACCGACGGCGCCCCCGCTCCTCCCGCTTCCCGCTGGGGGGGCGCGGCCACGGCGTCATCGGCGCGCGCCCGCAGCGCCGCCGTCCCTCCCTGCCGCCCGCCGGCCGGGATCATGTCGCCGCCGCTCTTCAGCCTGCCCGAGGCGCGGCTCCGCTTTACGGTGAGCCTCCCCTGCCTTCCCCCCGCCCTTCCAGCCTTCCCTTCATCCCTGCCGCTCGGACGCGAAGCTGCGGGGCCGGTCTGTGCCTCGGCGGCTCCGGGCCCGCGGCCCGGCCGGGGCTGCTGCCGGGAGCGGCCCGGGCGCTGCTTTATGGAGCGCTGAGCGCGGCCGGGGTGCGGCGGAGTGGGAGTGAGGGCGAGCGGGCGGGCTGCGCGCCGGCTCGGCCAAGAGGGGGGGGGATCAGTCTTAGCGAAAATTAATGTGAAAGACAACGAAAGTGTAGCGTGCCCCCCCGAGTAAAACGTCCGGGCGTATTGCACTTTCTGTCTCTGCTGAGGGATGCTTTTCCTTTCCCAGAGCTGGGGGGCTCCGTGTGTTGCCGGCCTCTGGATCCCCTCAGGTTGTCAGACGAGAGGATGGGATTTGCACAGGAGTGCTCGAGGCACAAGCACTCGATCCCTTAGAACGATTTTGTAACAGGAAGCAGTCATTTTTAGACCACCTTCTTAGCAGGAGTCATATGCTTTTTAACATCTTCATAAACGTAGGACTTGCAGGGATCCCATGCGACTTCGTAGGTGGTAGAAAATTGGGAGGAGCTGTTTAACTCCCTTGAAGACAGGGAGAGGCTCTCAGGCCCACGATGCCGTTCTTGGGGCTGTCCTTGTAGGGCCAGGAGTTGGGCTCAGTGATCCTTGTGGGTCCCTTCCGACTCAGAGTGTTCCCTGATCTGTGTCCCAAAGCATCATAACCACCTGAAGCTCTGAGTGTGGCACCTGAGACAATGATAGGTCCAGTGTTGGTCACAAGAGCCTGATCCTCTGTGTATCCTTTAGAAATGCTGTTTTCACCAGGCTGCTAGCCCACGTTTGAGGTGAGATGCTCTAACAGCTCATGTGCCTAATTTCCCATGTGCTTGTTATTTGCCCTTCCTGTTACAAAGGTCTCTCTGTAAACTAACACATGGTGTGTGGCAGGAAGATTCCTTAGTATTTCTGTCCACTGTCAGAGGAGGGAGGAAGATCCTTTTAGTTTTGTACTGGTGTTGTAGCTTTTCTCTCTTTGCATTTGGTAGACATCCACCAGAGAGGCTCTGATTAACAAAAGCATCAAGCCGTTGTTGAATGCATTTAACCAGGTTCCTGGAAGGTAAGTGAAGGTCACTTGTTTTTTTTTTAAATTGCCTGTTTAGATAAGTTTTAGTAATCTTGTGCCTGAGGGTAGTTACTAACTAAGGTGGAATGTTTGCATTTGCAGTGAAAATGAAAAGAAGTGTACCTTGGATCAAGCTTTTAGAGTTGTTGTAGAAGAAGAAATAGTAAGTATTTTAAACTGCTGAAGCTTATCTCTTGTTGAACCTCACATTTCTATTAGCAGGCTAGTATATTAATGTAACAGCAATGTACTTTAGTGTAAGAAAACACTTCATTAAAAACAGGAGCTATGTAATGGTGAGATAGTTGAGATTAAAGACAGATGATTCAAGGAGGTAGGTAGAATCTTGTATTTGAGAGATATCACACTGTAGTGAGAGCTGTTGTCTGAGCCTTTTCTAGCAGTTCTTTGTAATGTTTATGAAAGTCTGCTGCATCTTAAAATTCTAATTCATAAACATGCATTGTTCAATAACTGTACTTTAAAAGTGGGTGGAAAGGGTAGGATTGGAGTAGATGTCAGAAAGAAATTCTTCACTGTGAGGGTGGTGAGGCACTGGAACAAGTTGTCCCAAGATGTTGTGGATGCCCCATCCCTGGAAGTGATCAAGGTCAGGTTGGATGGGGTTTTCAGCAACCTGGGTTAGTGAAAGGTGTCTCTGCCCCTGGCAGGAGAGTTTGAGCAATGAGATATTTTGGCCTCCCCAGATCAAAACTATTTTGTGATTTGTTACTTATGTAACAAAGTTGCCCTATCAGCTGAAAAGACTGATGAAAGGAGTCAAATAGTGTATGATCAAATAATAGTTGAATGAAGTCTGGATGTGGGATATTAATTTTCAGAGGCAAATGACTGTGCATTTGGGTCTCTAGTGGCTGGAAGCAGTCAGGAATGGTTTAATTCTCAATAAAAACTTACTACAGTTAACTGATAGGTCAGATTTCATAGATTGTTTTGGCAAGTTGAATGTCAGTATTTGTTTTAAATATACCTACTTGGAAACAAGAATTTTAGTTTTGTTAGATACATTATGGTCAGACTGGAGAATTTCAACAGTGTTTTCTTTCTTTAGATAAACAAAGCTCCATGTGAGAATCTCCTGGCAATTATTTCTCTTGCTATTAATGGAGTCACAGAAGGTGAGCATTGAAAGAGCATCTCTCTTTCAAATTTATTGGCAGTTTTAGGGACCATTTAGGGGAATTTTAAAATCTTGATTTCTGTAAATCATCTACTATGGTTATCTTTGGTGATATATGGCTCTTATGCTAGTGTTTAGTTTCAGAAGAGAAATTAAGTATAATATAATTAAATTTAGTTATATATGTGACATTTGTGTTGGAATCTTTTTATTTTTATTTTTTGTTAAGAAAGAAAGATGGATGGATTTGGTTGCAGCATGATTAGCAGTTTCTTTGTCCAGCACTCTAAAATGATAGAAGTTTCCCATCATAATTTCAGAGATGAGACCAGTGAGTAATGACTTGGCAGAGGCAGAAATAACATCTCCTGTGTATCTGTGCTCATCTCCTGTCAGGATATGGCTGGTTTTTAGATACCTGGATCTGTTTCAATAACAGATTGTGTCAGAAATCAGTGTGCTGTTCTCTGAAGTGGCTTTTGCTCTCTTCCTTTTGTTTATTTGTTCACATTATTCATCAAGAATCGTTTGTTTCACTAAGTACAGGTGAATTACATGTATGTTTTATGAGCTGTAGGAATAACAAGAGCTGTGCTGTGAGGAATGCAGGTATTGCCTGCAGAGCATGGGTGGATGGACTTGGAGGACTGTTTTAGTGATGCTTGAAAAGGCTCTCAGCCTTCATGGATGTGTGTAGTGGGACTAACTGTGGATATAGAAGTCTGAAAAAGTTGACTTGCAGTCTGCAGAAAGATGTGACATTGTTTCAGATTTTGAGATCTTTATAACAGTGATTGTTTTAATATTTGTTTTATGTTAGTGCAAAGCTTTTGCAAATCTTGTTTGAGTATGTGTAGAAATAACTTTAGTGAAAGTTCACATTTTAGCCCATGTTTTCTGTTAGGATTTGTAGGAACCCAGAAGAACTTCTTTCTTCTACTTTTTTTAATAAAACGTCCCTCAAGTGTAATGCATCTCTTTGTTTTGTATTTCAGTTCAAATTTGTTGAATAAAAAATTCCCTGTTTTCCTTATAGGTATCTGCACTGCATCAACTCCTTTTGTGCTTTTGGGGGATGTTCTGGATTGCCTCCCTTTGGATCAGTGTGACAAAATTTTCACTTTTGTGGAGAAAAATGTTGCTACATGGAAATCGGTAGGTATTTCTGCAAAATGTTCCATAGTTTGGCCAAAGCTTTTGTCTACAAGAACCATTTTGATGAACAGAATTTAACTGTCCTTGTGGCTGACACATTAGTGTCAGGAACTCCAGAGATAGCACCTGAAAAGCATTCTACTGCCTCAGTGTTTTCCTTATCTGGATTTTCTAACTAGAACCTCCTCCCATAGTCATTCAGGCTGGTTTGTTTCAGATTACATTATGGCCCCTGACATATTCACAAACTGTTGTTTATTGTTGATTCAGGTATCTCCCAGTTTCTTCCTCCAGATCACCAGTATTGTGAACACTCTAAATCTTTTTTGTGTGCTCTTTGCTTATTTGTACAAATCATACATGGAGTAATAAAGGAAATGAGTGTAAAAATTAGTGCATTCCAAGAAAAAAAAAAGGATGGTGTTCTTACAGTTCATTGTCACACGTGGTTTTTCATATGAAGGCTGGATGTAAATGTATTTCATGCTCTCTTGGAATTTGTGGGACTTGCCTTTTTGTGAAACCTGCCTGTTATGTAAGGGAAGACTCAAATTTAGAGTTATCTGTAGGAGTGACTCATACTTACTCATATCTTGTGATTGGATTAATCTGCTCAGGAAGGTTTTATGATCTTCTAATGTCCTAAATGCCTTTACTCTGTTTCAGAACACATTTTACTCTGCAGGGAAGAATTACTTGCTGCGCATGTGCAATGGTGAGTAGTAGTTTTTCAGGCAGGGGAGAGCAGCATTAAAAAACTTCCTATCTCAGGAAATGAAAATTAGTTTAATAACTTGATTTAAATTCAGATGTGTTCAGTAAGTAATAAAGTTAAAAGGTGCATCACTCTGAACAGATACATATTCTTGGTTATTAATGTAAAAGTCATTCAGGCCTCAGGGAGCTCTTCATCAGTGGAGATCGTTATAGAAGAATGTCATTCCTCAGCAATGACAGTGCCTGTATCCAAGGCTATATTTGAGTAGGATTCATTCAAATTTATTTTTTATTGGTGTTGAAGGTGTTAGGAGAATTGGCAGAATGCATTTGGAACAAGTATGTCTGGTCAGAGGGAGTCACTGGCATTTGAATTTACAATTATGAGCTTCCTTAGCTCTGTAGATCATGTGATTAGCAAGTCTTGAATTCTGTTGCATGAGAAATTAAAAGAGGGATAAATACTAATATTATTTACTTTTTACAATATTTAGATCTCCTAAGAAGATTATCTAAGTCACAAAACACAGTCTTTTGTGGAAGAATTCAGCTGTTCTTGGCTAGGTTATTTCCACTTTCAGAAAAGTCAGGTGAGATTTTTTGCATTTCATCACACTTAACATTGAGACTAAATAAGCTGAACCTTTAAAGTCTGTGATGGTTGCAGACCAAATCCAGTTGGACAAAATCACTTTGCATTTGCATCCTAGTTCTTGTGTCTTTCCTTGATGTTGTGACTTTTATTTGCTTTGGTTCCAGATGTAAGTTTTTGCTCTGAGAATTGAGTATCAGTATTTCATAAACAGACTTGGGAACTTCACAGCTTTTAAGACTTTCTCTTTGTTTTTCACAGGACTTAACCTACAGAGTCAGTTTAACCTGGAAAATGTCACTGTTTTCAATACCAATGAACATGAGAGCACTCTGGGACAGAAGGTGAAAATTCCTATGTAATTTTTCACTGATTCTGCAGTTAATGTGTAAGATTGTTTGCACAAAAAGTGTTTGGGACTGTAGGTTCATAATTTGGTTGTCCCTCTGGTTGTTTTGGGAATAGGCATTCCCAGGTGTCTGTTAGGTTACCTGGAACATTAAACTGTGCACCCTGAGGGAGAAAAAGACAGGTGTGATTGTGAGGAATGAGTACTGTCACTTACTGTGCAAAGTTTTCCCCACAGTATGCAGAGGACAGAGCTGTCTCTTCAGCTTTTTTTCAGGAGAAATGAGACTACCATTGCATTAAGACAGAAAATTTTTACACATATTACAGTAATAATACTTCAGAGATTTTTTGAGTTACCAGCTTAAGCATTCTGATCTAATATATAATTGAATGTTTACAGTAAACAACACTGTGAGAACTCAGTGCAAACTGTAGTGGCATTTATATAAATCTTAAATAATTTTTTCCTATTTAGCACACTGAGGAGAGGGAAGAAGGAATGGATGTGGAAGAAGGTGAAATGGGAGATGATGAAGCACCAACGAGTTGGTGAGCTGACAGAAATTTAAAAGCTGAAGCAAAGCATTATAAAGTGAAAGGAAAAATGCTGTTTGGGAAATATCTTTAAATGTTGAAATCGAAATTCTCCTCGTCTTCTGCCCTCTGAAGATTACATGTATCTAATCAGTGAAGGCTCCTGGCAATGTCTTAATTGTTTAAGTTGTCTGGAAAACAGAAATGTACAGATTTGAAAAAGTTGTATACCCTGGCTGAGAGCCACTCTGATTTTGACAGTTTTACAAATTCCCTTCACAAAACTCGTGATAAGATGTATTCAGGGATTTTGAGTATATGCTTAAGGAGAAAAAGCTGTGTTCCCCTTCATGCCACAGATAGTAAAAAACTCCTAAGACCCCTTTTGTGTACTTTTTTGCTTTTATGGTGAGAAAGTAACAACAGACTGAATGGAAAGCTCTTACAAGGACAAATTTTGAGTTACAGATTCCTCTGTGATGGTTCACTACTGACTCACTAATTTACTTCCAAAGTGAATAATGTTTTCTGGGGTTGTACATTCCTGAGTGAACTTGAATATAGTATATTGCTTTTCAATGTGGGGTTTTTTTTCATTATTTCTTCCACAGTTCCATTCCAATAGATTATAACCTGTATAGAAAATTCTGGTCACTTCAAGATTATTTTAGAAATCCTGTGCAGTGTTATGAGAAGGTGTCATGGAAAACATTTCTTAAGGTAATCTGAGTTCATGCTTTCAACCATTCATTGTTTACATGAGTAGCAGTGACAGCATAAGCATGGAACAGTTCAAAGGCTCAGGCTGCTGGAAAATGATAATGCATTAGGAAATGCATTTTGACACTTTCTTAAGTGAGCCTTTTTCAGTAAACTAATATATTGTGTTAAAATGTACAATAAGTTTCCTACTGTCTGTCAATACCAGAAATACTTCACATGTTGCAACAGTGCCAGAAGTACTTTTTTTTTTTTTTTGTGGTTTATCAGCTGCAACAAGCAGAAGTTGTGGGTTTGGGTGGGTTTTTTTACCCCAAGAAGATAAATAGCTCTATCTAGTCCTTACTGTTATTTTTGAGTAGTCATACTGATGCCAGTGGCATCCTAAAGATTACTGGTTTCTAACAAAGCAAATCTCTTTGTAGAAGCAATGACTTGAATGTCCCCTTCAGCCAGCTGTTTCAGTTTTGCTTAGTATGAATATTGATGAGGATTTATTGCTAAGGTACTGTTTCTTCAAAATTTGTCACCCAGTATTTATTTAATTCAAAGAAGCTTAGTTATTTTTTAATCTTCATTCTCTGTGTTCTGGTAATAAGAGGTGACATCTGCTCAGACATCCTAGTATAAATCTAATTTATGACGTCTACTAATGGGGCCAAAAAAAAAACAAAACCCACAGAAAAACACCACAGGTGCAGTTCAGAAACTGATAAAAGACTTAGGTCTTTCAGATGAAATTTTTTACTGTAGCACTGTGATCATGTGAACCTTTTTTCTTCATGATGTCTAAACAACAACGCATTGTTCAGAACCTAAAATGTTTTTTTTCTTAGCATACTTTAAATATTCTGTATGATTAAATGTTCTGACATGATAACATTTTCACTTCATTTGTGGTGTTTAGAGCAGTCCTGCACATCAGTAACAAATGTTTCACATTTGTTCACATTTCTAACAGTTGTTTCAGTGGGCTGATAGCTGATCTACCAAGTATTTTACTTGCTTGGCTTTAGGTCTGCAAAGGTTCAGTATTGTTTTCATGTGGTAAATTAAAAAAACTCTCTTTTATAGTACTCGGAAGAAGTTTTGGCTGTTTTCAAAAGTTACAAATTGGATGACACTCAGGCTTCCCGAAAAAAGTTGGAAGAACTAAAAACAGGAGGAGAACATGTGTATTTTGCAAAGTTCCTAACTAGTGAAAAGGTACGTGGCTTCCCTTCCAGAATTTCAAGCTAATTGAGGTTGGAAGGAACCTATGTCTGGTTCAGCTTCCCTTCTCAAAGCTCTCAGCTGGAGCAGTTGATCAGCACTATGTCCAGTTGAGACTCCACAGTTTCTCTGGATATCCTATTACACTGTTTGGCCATTTTATTTAGATAGATGTATTCTATTCCTTTTTGTATTTTATTCTTTGTGGGTTGTCTCTGTTAATTAATGACTCAGAGGCTTCTATTTCTGGAATAAGAGTCTTCAATAATGCTGCCATTTGTTTATTGGATTTCATTTCTAATGTTGCCTTTACAAAGATAAATTAAAAGAGAGTAAATATTTAAAGATCTTTTGGTTTTTTATTGTTGTTTAGCTGATGGATTTACAGCTGAGTGACAGTAACTTCCGTCGTCACATCTTGTTGCAGTACCTAATACTATTTCAGTATCTAAAGGGACAAGTCAAATTTAAAAGGTAATGTGAAAATACTTTGTGTTTTGGGGATGGGGAACTAGGAACTTGGAGATAAACCAAAATATTTTAAAATAGTTTGCCTACTTATTCTGAGTTTGTGGAACTTGGAGCCTTGGATTGGTAAATACAGGGTATGCCTGAAGTTATTTTACAGCAGGAAAGCAGAGGTCTCAATTAATTTCTCTGTTCCTCTGCCTAATTCTTTGCCCTCCTGTGCTCTCATGTTGGTTGGACTTGCTTAAAATTGTGCCATTTACTATACAGGCAGAAATGCAATCTGCTCATCTTTGCAGAGTTAAGTTTTCTGCCAGGTTGGTGAGTTGTGGGGTCTCAGAGAAGTAGAGGCCATTAAAACTTGCTTACAGTGAGTGCCAGCCATGACAGGGAAGGAGACTCTCCTTGGCAGCACCCAGTTGTTAAGACCAGTGCAAGGTACTTGTGTGTGGCATCATTTTGAATCTATACTGGCTTTGCAAAGTGGCATTGGTTGCTGATTTGTTTTTTCTTAGTGTACTGCAGAACTCTGTCTAAAATGGCAAGAAATAGCAATGGTGATAATTGCTTTTATAAATTCATGGGATAGAACCAAACTCCATCTGTTCCTAGTCTCTTAACATTATTCTGAAGAAAAACCCATCTCATTTCCTGTGCCCTGGGCCATATTTGCACGTAATAATTAACATCCTTAACAAGGCAGGTGTCTCCCACCTGCTATATATTGCTTTTTGTAAACAGCTCTCAAAGAACTTTGTAATCTAGGATCATTATCCTAATTCTACAGATCATTTATCAAGGCAGTCTAGTGGCTGAGAAGGAATGGAATTCAGGTCTTGTGAATTCCAGTTCAGTCCTTTTGAGGTGACAGTCATTCAATGTCATTGCATTAAAATGTTCATTATAAATTGTCACTTATTGGTGGTCAAGGATGGCATGGGATACAAATGGTGGTATAACACTTGGTGAGTGTTTTTGAGGTAAATCTTTTCATTGTGCCCATTTGCTGTATTTTGGGTCCAATATTGAGGCTTGATCTTGAATCACTCAAATGGGCTTCCTATTGGGTGAATCTACACCTTGAAAGTGTAGTCCCCAAGCACATCTAATTAATTCCACAAACTAGTAAATGCCCTGAGACCAGAGCAGATCACATTCAAAGCACTTTCCTCAGATCTCCTCTTAACACCCCTCACAAGGTATGTAGTATAAATTATATGTCCTCAGCACACTTTCTGATATGTTGGGTTTTTTTCAATTCCAGTTCAAACTATGTTCTAACAGATGAACAGTCTCTTTGGATTGAAGATACTACAAAAGCAGTCTACCAGGTTGGTACAGTATCTACTCTCATAAAAATTACATGGAAGAATATTGAGCATGTAATATTGTATCAACCACCTTTAAAGCAGTAGATACCATTTTCTCTGGAGTTCTTTACCTACATGTTCTGCAACAGATACAATGCAAAAAGTTCACCTTCTTTTCTCTCATTCATAGCTTCTTTCAGAAAATCCTCCAGATGGGGAAAGATTCTCAAAAATGGTAGAGGTGAGTATTTTGATGCCTGCCTGAACAAAGTCTATAGCACATAAAAAAGCAGTTTCAGCTTATACTAGCTTTTGGAACACACCTATTATATCTGAGAACTTTTACCTCATCCTAGTAAAAATTGGTCCTATAGTGTCTTATTATTTTGTAGTCATATTTTATCCCATGTTTTCAATAATGTCTTTCTTCCTTCTTCAGGGGAGAAATGGAGATATGCCTGTATGTGCATGTGTACACATGCACATTGGAAAGCAAAAAATATTCCAAAGCTTTTGCAGATAGGAGTCCTGTGCCCAAAGACATGGAAATGAAATACAAGTGAAATTAATCAAAACCCAAGAAATTGTCTTTTTGCTATCCTTTTTTCCTTTACTTTGACCGTATCTATTTTCTTGACTAGACCAGGGGAGATAAAGCTTTTCCCACAATTTTTGAAGAGAGGAGTTACACTATTTTTGCATAAATCAATCCAGTTGCCTAAGATTATACTGATGATCTTCAAGATAGTGACTGAAACACACAACCTAGAACAAAGTTTTCCCCTTAATTTTAATAGCTCAATTTAAAACTTTGGGGTCAACTCTGAACATGCTTATGACCCTAATAATGTGCAATACCTTCTGTCTTTCTACAGCATATATTAAATACTGAAGAAAACTGGAACTCATGGAAAAATGAGGGCTGCCCAAGCTTTGTGAAAGAAAGGTAACTGTGTTATGGAACAGAAGCTTTCTGCTGCTTGTTTGAAATGGTGGTTCCACTTCAGAGTCTGCTACCCATGGTGTATATTGACCACTCACACAACTTGGAGATCTGTACAGTTGCCTGTCCCTTCAGTGAGTGCAGGCTCTTAGATTTCTGCCAAAAGTCATAAGGCTTGCAGTATGTCAGGGAAGAGGTGCTTATGGGTGTGTCTGCTCTCAGGAGAGCATTCTTCATTGTCTCAGGGCAATATTTTGTGGTACTGGTACTGGTCCAGGAGACTGGAGCAGGTTTTGCTGCCTCCTGCTTTCAGCAGACCCTAGGTTGAAGTGGTTAGTGCCTGACTTTTCCATTTATCCCTTTGGACTGCCTCTAATGAAGCCTTTGGCATTATGGATTTGGGCAGGGCAGCATACCTGGAGTTTGTGTAACAGTTCTCTTACACAATTTATTTATTAGTTTGCCACTTGATGGTGATCACTTACCTTAAAGGGAATGACAGTTAGATGGCTATCACCACTGAAAGTTTCCTGTGTTACTAACTAGTGGCAAAACTTGAACTTTGACTCCATGTGTCTACTTGACTGTCTTGAGGGGATGACCAAACATTTGTCTTCCACCCTTCTTCATTGTACACACAGAATGGCCTCTTTGTGGTAAGGAACATGTGGGTCATTATATCTTTGGAGATTCCCTTTTATTAGAGATGATGTGCAGCCACCTCTTCATGACTTAAGCTGTTTGTAAATAAAAGGGAGGGGGGCTGTTAGAAGAGAGAAATTACTGTTGCAGGGGGATTGTGGGGAAGTAAAATTATGAAATTTGACTTTTATAAATATTCTGTCTCCTTTAGATCTCATCCAGAGTTTCAGCTTGGGTAGGTCTTGCCCTAACCTCAGTCCTCTGGGATCTCCAATCTCTAATCCCATGAAATCAGGTGCAGCTGGGGAAAGAGACCTTGCAACCATGATCCCAGCAGCAGGGTAGATCATGTCCTGCTGGCACAATTGTGATTTGCTTCCTTCTGTTTATTGGGACTCTGGTAGATCTTTATATTTTTGAGTGAACTAATTTTGGTGTCTGGCAGAATCCTTTATCTCTACTTTGCCTCCTCTCTCCTTTTCCCCACTGCCTCCTTCCACCCTTAGACCCTTAGACTCACTGTCCCTCAGTCCTCATCTCAGGTGAAAGGTGAAGGTGAAACAGCTTCTTTTGTTCTTGAGATATTACTGGTTTGACACTAAAGAGCATTTTTTTTTCTTTAGACCTCCTGATTCTAAGCCAATGAGGCCTGTGCGGAAGAGGCCAGCTCCAGAGGACTTCTTAGGAAAAGGATCAAACAAAAAAATCCTTATGGGGAAGTATGTTGGTTTCTCTTTCCTTTACAAAGTTTCTGGGTTTGGCTTGGTTAATTGGTTTGGGGGATTTTATGTTTGGGGTTTTTTCCTCCCACTGTTTTTTCTATACATCAATTTTCAAACATCCTTATTTTGGAGCTGCCAAAGAACAGCCAAAGGATATATCACTCTTTTAAAACTTGCAGTAGCCTTTCTTTCCTTATAACCATCTTTTACAGATCCCTTTAAAACAGTCCATGAGTGTGGCATGGTAGGATGATGAACATAAACAATGTGTGTTTATGCTTTTCTTTTCAGTGAGGAGCTGACCCGCCTTTGGAATTTATGTCCTGATAACATGGAAGCCTGTAAATCTGAGAGTAGGTAGGTAAAAAATGGGTGTGTCATTGTTTAAAGCTAACTAATTAGCACTCTAATTAGAGAGTTACAAAATTGGCATAAGGAAGATGTACAAGATGATCTCAGGAAGTGTGCATTTCACACCTTTAGAGAAGGTGGTTGTATGAATTTTTGCCCTGAAACCTCTTTACAGTTTTCCTCACTTCTTCGAGTGTTTATGCTGCCAGTAATTTTCATTGCTTACTAAAGTAAAATCTAAGCTGAAAACCAGATGAAAACTTTCCTTTTGTAGAACATGATTGTATAATTAATTACCTTATATAATGAAGGAAGACTGCCAAGTCTGGCTCTGATGAAGTTAGCATGCTGCTTGGCTATGATTTTCGAGCAGGCCTGTGCTTTAAACAATGCTAGATAAGAGGAAATTGGCTACCAGGCATTGTTCCAGCACATACCGTGTCTGTTCGTGGGGCAGATACAGAAAAATGCAATTATTAGTTGTCCCTTCTGCTTGCACAATTGTAGGAAATGCTTAAAATACACTCTGCTACATGACTTTCTTTGTTACAGGTGTCAAAATCTCTTTTACTGTGCAGGCATGATGCAGAGTAAGAAAATTTGGAGAAGGAATGGGACAGTTCCCAAAGAGAACTCTGCTAGTAGTGGCTGTAAAGTCTGGTTCTGTGGGGAGAGGTGCTAGCTGTGCAGATTTCCTGGGTGGAGGAATTGCTTTTCTAGAGGTTCAGAGTTTTGCAGAGGAAGTGCCCTCCTTTCTTGTGAGGCTGAGATATACAGGAAGGCCTTTGACAGGATGCTTGCCTTTACTAGGCCAAGGGATGAAGGTGGAGTTGTGTTTGGAACCAAAGCTTTTGGTTCCATGTGTGTGATTGTATTGTGCTGCAATGCCTTTAAACAAAAATAAATAAATAAAGCCCTTAACAAACATAGATAAACAAAGAAAATGCATGCCATGGTAAACAGGAAATTGATCCCACAGTGTCAAGATTCAGTTGCAAGTTTTTGTCGTGGGCTTTGTGACTGTATGTGGTCAAGTGAAAGCTTTTTGCCTTGGTTCTTCACATCTCCATTCAAATGGGGTAATACTTCCTTAGCTGTCCCCTTTTTAGATGGTTGTTTTGGGGATAATGTGGCAGGACTCAGATGAGTTTTCAAGGTGTTGGCTTTTTCCAGTAGTCAGTGATGATGCATGGGGCACTGCTGCCCTGGGCAAAATGCCTTTTTCAAAACAAAATTGAAATGAATGTATAGACCAGTGTGCTTCACCCCCTGCTCCAGCCCTTTGCTAGACTCCCTTACAGAAGCAGGTGTGTCTCTGTCAGCATTGGGTAGGAGAAATACAGATCATTATGAGCTTGCTTTGCTCCACTGAGAGTCTTGGCTCTCAGTAACCTACAGCTCTCACACAATCTGTGTTTCTTGGGTAGAGTCTTCTCAGCAGCAAACCATCCTGATGGTGTGAAATTTCATTTCTGTTCTTTTTTTAGGTCAGGGTTCCTTTTGTGCTGCTTTGAGTACCTGTCAGATCCCACCACAAGCAGTTCTGAGAGCAGATGGAGCTGAGGTGGGGGGTGGCAGGGACAGCCATGTTTTGCTGCTGTCAGATGGCACAAAACTAGCAACCATTTTAGACTTCTGAGCGCTTGTGAGCTGTGCAAATGCTGCTGACAGATGTTGACATCACCTCTTTGTATGGCAGGAGGTTTAAATGTGTGTAATAGGCAGTGCTAGCAACTGCTGGCACACTCTAGTGGTTATGCAGTTAATAATTTTATAGCAATATGTACCAAGCACTTTCTTTGCTTGTTTAAAATTGTTAAATTTGAGTGGGTTGGTTTGGGATTTGTATTTTTCTCCTCAGTGGATGAGCTCGAGATGTGTCAAAAGAAACAAAGACTGTCCATTTTAGAAAAGTTTGTGAAGCATATTTAAGCTCTTTATTTGATTTTTTTTTTTAGGGAATATATGCCAACACTGGAGGAATTTTTTGAGGAAGCTATTGAACAAGCAGACCCTGAAAACATGGTTGAAAATAAATATAAGTATGTCCATCTCTGCTGTGTTTCACTTGATTTTAATCTGTTTCATGTTTGGACTGTTAAAGAAAACAGACTGTTCTCAGCATTACTAGTATCTGTGTAGGACTCCAGAAATGTACAAAAACTGATTAAATTTGGACAGAATTATATTACTAAATGTCTCAAATCTTTCTCTGTGTTTTTATAGATGCCAGACTTTAATAATCAAACTTGTGTTTTATTGTAGGGCTGTGAACAATTCTAACTATGGCTGGAGAGCACTGAGACTTCTGGCACGCAGAAGTCCCCACTTCTTCCAGCCAACAAACCAACAGTTCAAGAGTTTACCTGAATATCTAGAAAACATGGTAATCAAATTAGCCAAGGAGCTGCCTGTAAGTAATATTATCCTATGATAATAAATGCTGAATTCATTCACTTTCTGGTTGTCCCTCTGCAGTCCATTTGGTACAGAGGGGGAGAAAAAAAACAGCCAGGAAAAAAGTTTGTACACTGAAATAAAAATTACAAATAAAATTAGACTAATCTCTGAACATTCCCATAACAATAAACTGAGTAACACTGATTAACCTAGTAACTGTTGAACTCTGCCTTGTACTCTGAAAAAAACCAGCTGTGGCAACCCTGTTGCTAGGTGGGAGTGTATATATATATATATATATATATATGTGTGTGTGTGTGTGTGAATATATACACATATATATATTAACCCAGCTGCTTGGGTTCCATGTTGCAGTGCAGACCAATTTTATGGAAGCCAGAATTTTATTAGCCAGAATCATGGCTCATGAATATACTGGGATGGCAGGAAAAGAGGCAGTATGTCCAGCTGATGGTGCTGTGCTTACCAGAACTTTACAGCAAGGTTTGCCAGAGGTCTTCTATCAGCTCCCTGACTTCTAAAATATGCAAAACAAGAATAAACCTTGTGGAGCTGTAAAATTAAGGCATTAACCCTTTGCTTGGTCAACAGTACAAATTTGAGTCCAGGTGGGGCCTTTCAGATGGCTTTATACACAGTGATAAGAGAGGCTGCCAGTGGGGAAGGGGCGCTTTCTACACCTCTGAATTGGCACAAAACCCAGCAATGTCTTGCAGATACAAACCCCTGCTTCTCTACTGAGACTTTCCTTCTCTGTAATGTGAGGTCTAAAGGTTGGAGTTTAATATATGGCTGTTTTGTTTGTCCAGCCATCAGAGTTAACTGTAAGCTAAGAGCAAGTTGAGAAAAAATGTGGGGATTGTAATTTGTTGAATGTATTAAGGTATGGCTGCATGCAATATTCCTGGTACTACTGTCATGTGCCAAAAGCAATGGCAAGAAACAATTTGTGTACCTAAGGCCCGTGGCTGAAATATAGAAAAAGATGAAACCTTTTGGCTGATCAGTACCTGAATGAGGGAGTGAAAAGTTTGTTGTTTGTGTATTTGATTGCCACCTTCCAGAAGTCTGAAAGTACATAAACTTTGAGGAATTCCCAAGTGTGGAATAAAATTAATGAATAACAATAATCATGATTTTTTTTTAAAAATGTTCATCAGTAGTGATCTTAAATTTGGTTGGCTGGGTTTTTTTTTTTAAGCAAGTGATAAAGCTTGCTATGGAATGCTTAGTTGTTGTTACTATGAAAAGGAAGAATCCTATTTAATCAGTGGGTGCTTTGATGAGTTTTTTTTTTAGTTAGTAATATATTTTATTAGAACTTACTGGTGTTAGTGGTGTTTAGGAGACTCTGGGGGATTTTTGATTCTCATGTGGGATTGTGTCAGACTTTCCATTCTAACACACATTCCAGAGACAAGCACAGAGCTGTAGAATTTCTCTTTGAAAACAAAATGCATCCAGTGATGTTTAGTTCTTTCATTGTAGCCTCCTTCTGAAGAAATAAAAACAGGTGAAGATGAAGATGAGGAAGATAATGATGCTTTATTAAAGGAAAACAATGAAAGTAAGACTTGCATATTCTTAGTCTTTCCAGTTTTTCTCTTGATATGTGTTGCAGAATCTGTGTTTTAACATAGTTTCCACTGAGGGCCATCAGTCCTGCTTACCCCAGTGCATTAGCACCAACAAGCACAGCCTTTTTGGGACACAGGAGCAGCCTCCCAGTGTCCTGGCCTGCAATGCTGAAAGCTTCCAACCTGTTGGATTAGCACTTTCACTAGGAGCCTCTTTCACCTTTTCTGCTATGTAGTCTGTGTTGACAGTGTCACTGGGTGTTCAGGGCTGAAATGTCAGATGTGTAAAAGCCTGTGTGAGTGCTCCTCTCCCATTTTCCTGTTCTCTCTGCCCTTTAATCACTGGGGTAAGCACTTTCCCCTAGCCCTCCTGGGGTAGTAACTGTGGAACTTTCAAAAATGGATATATTCTAACTCTGAGATCTTTACTTCTTCATTTAAAATACCTTAGAGGCAAAAGTTTCTCTGGAAGAACAACCTTCCTGACAAACATCATCTCACTCATTGTTCTCCACAATCTGTGTCTGTCTCTTGCCTTTAATCCTGGCATGTCCTGCTCCTAGGTGTCCTTCCCCATCTCCTTTGTCTGTGAATCTGCCATCTTCCATCCTCATTCGTGCCTTCATCTCACAGCACCCTTGTGGGTTATAACCCTGTATCCCAGCTCCTGGATCCAGCACGGGCGGATGGGATGCACAGGGCATGGAAGCCAAACACTGGGTACCTCTGGCAGCTTTGTTGCAAGCTGTTTTCTGTCAGTGGAAAGACACCTGTGGGCTTCTGTGAATCTCTCTCATGTTGCCCTTTTCCATCCAGCACTTGACCTTCTCCACAGTCTCCTTTGCAATAGTAGAGAAGTTCTTTCCTCTTTAGCTTAATGCTAATGCACACAGCCTTTGTGGTGTCACTGTGTGGGATTTATGTCTTTCTTTAAATCTTGTCTTAAAGCAATGATGGCAGAGCCATGGTCTGCTGTGCTTAGACATAAGAGAAATGATCTGAGGGCTTTTATTGTTTTGTTGTTCTGCATCTTTTGTCCTTTTCCTCTGTGTGACTTTAGTTCAGATAAATGACTGTGACTGATAAGTGCTGGAGAGACTTGAAATTTCTACTCCGTGCCACCTCTCTTCAGGTGGCACAAGAAGGGACTAATTCTTAATAAGAGATTATTTTTTAATAAAATAAATTTTATTTAAAAGTAGGAGTATGATTAATTTCTCTATGTATTTCAATTTTTGGTGTTTTTTTCTTTAAAATTGTGAAATAAACAGGGATGGTAAGCCACAGACTGTAGACTGTGATAAGCTATGAATGTGCAAACCCATCTGTAATCACTGTAGCACTTGGCTTCCCAGCAGAGCCTAGCGTTCCATGGTTTTTATGTCAATGCCAGAATGATAGAAAATTCCTGACTACACATGAAATTTACTGTCATAGCCCTGTCGTGTTGCCAATAGGAACATGAGAAAAAACTGAATGAATACTGGGTTTGTTTGTTTGTATTTTTTTACCTGGGTTGACTTTGAGTAAGGTGGCTAAAAAATTCCAAAATACAGCTAAATGTTAAAGATCACTCTGTATTTTAATGTTATAATTGACTTGTGTTGAAATCTGTCAAAATCCTTGTTTTCACTTGGAGTAGGCAGTTCTGATGTATTTAAGACTTAGGCACTTCTCTCAATATAAAAGGAGATAACATAAAAAGCAAGATTTTCCATATTTATGGGCATTAAGGGACATAGCTCTTGAAACCCAGGTAAACACCTGTAAAAATCTGCTCTTGGAGCTCGAGTAGGTGTAAGTCAGTCTGTCAGTAAATAAACAGAGGATTTAAAATAGGGAGGATTCATTTGCAGTGTCTGGAGGTGTTCCCCGTGTCTCACTGATTCCTTCTCTGTTTTCCCCAGGTCCAGAGGTGCAACGGGACAAAGCCATGACGGGCGAGCAGATCGAGTCCTTTGCCAACAGGCTGGGGGAGCAGTGGAAGGCCTTGGCCCCCTACTTGGAGATGAAGGAGTCTGACATCCGGCAGATCGAGCTGGACAGCGAGGATGTGAAGATGAGAGCCAAGCAGCTGCTGGTGGCCTGGCAGGATCAGGAGGGCTCTCACGCCACCCCCGAGAACCTGATCACAGCGCTGACCAAGGCCGGCCTCGGGGAGCTGGCCGAAAGCCTCACCAACGACACCGAAGGCAGCAGCTAACTCGCCTCAGATGCCAACTGACTGACTTGGGGCTGGGGGTTGGTAATTGTCACTCTTCTGGTGCTTGCCATTGATAATTGTTACTTTTGTCGCTAGGCAATAGATTTTTGATAGGTATTTTATGTTCGGTAAATGATATAAAGCTTTTTAATATTACTGTTGGATTGTCCAGAGTGTCTGAGACAAAGGATTAGTCGCTGTGGCCTGGAACTAGGAAGCTTTATCTTTGGTGGTAGAACATGAAAGGGAGGATGGAGAGTCCTTGCAGCTTTTGGGGCAGGCTCTGGGAGTTTGGCACCAGCAGAACTCGGGTTGCTCCTGCTGGACAGAGAATTGGCAGGCTCGTTCCTCACAGCAGGGAAGAACTGTGTGTGAAGGACTTTGGAGTCACTCTTTGGGGTCATGGGAGCTGGGGACTGTCAAAAGAGGTAAAATGAGAGAGTTGTGATGGCACTCCAAGGCACAGCACTGCCTTCCAGGGAAGAAGCGCTGTCCTGCTCTCCCACTGAAGCACTGGTTCAGTCAGTGATCAAGGGATTTCCATGCTGGTTTTTGTTAGTGATTACTTTTAGCTTCTCATTCTTTGGCTGTGTAGGAACACTCCTGAGTACTGGTAAACAAAGAAGTTTTTTTGTCACAGGTAATTGTGAAGGTTTCATTTTAAGGCCAAGGTTATCTGTAGCTGTTTTCCCTCAAAATGTGAGAGGTTTTTGTGGTGTTAAGTGGCAGCTGGCTACAACTTGTTCTGTGGCTAGTTTGTGTAGTGCTTCTGTCACTGAACTCTGTATTTCTTCAGCTATTCACTCATAGCTGTGAATTTCCAGCATGATTAGCTACTACCTCAAAGGAGAGTTCCTGCCTGCAGAGCCATTGATTTTGTGTCTGCCCCACTCCAGACTTAAATTAGGAACTTGATTAGGGTGCTTCAGTGAAGCTTGGTAGGGGCAGAGATACAGAAAATTATTGGAAATAACAGCCCAGGTCGGCAGCTCCTGCTGCAGGTAGGGGCTGGTAGAAGGTGTGAACTTCAACAGTTTCAACTGGTTAAAGGACTTGAGCATATTGTGAGTGGAGCTGTGCAGGTGTGACTGACAACTTCAGTGCTGGGAAAACTGAGGATGACAGTGGGAGGATGTAGTTCCATAAAGGAGTAACCACACCATCTCTCCTTCCCCTGTAACAGGATCCAGAACAAGAATTTAACCCTGGAGGTGTTTCTGTGGGGCCTGCAGGAACAGAGCCAGCACTGCCTTGGGGGCTTCCTTAATGGGCAGAACTTGCCTTGAAGCATCCACTTAAAATAGAGCCCCAGGCCTTTGGTATGCTCCCAGGTGAAGCTGTGCAGGAAGGTGGCACTGGAGTAACAGTTGCAAGGCAGAAGAGCTGAGTGTGATGGCCACAGGTTATGCCAGGTCCCAGGGAAGGGTAAAAGGACCCTTTCTGATCAAGTGAGGCACAAGCAAACTCACCACCCTGCCAACAGAAGTGAAAGTATTTGATATGAATATGGACCAGCTCTTCAGCAGGCACTGGGACACATCAACACTGGGAACCTGTACAGCAAGGGGTGAGGGGGTTGATGACCTTGATAGTGCTTTTTAGCCTGTAGTGCCGAAAGGCTTTTTTTACAGCAGTCACACACATCCAGTTACTGCAGAAGGTCCTGTAAATAAGCAAAGCCCAGTTTTGCAGCCACCACACTGGACTTAGCTACTGAATAATGAGTAACAGGACAGGAGACACATCCCTACAGCTTAAAAAAAAAAGTGACTTTATTCCATGACTGCTTTGAGACATTCGTCAGTGGTGGCCCAAGAAGTGAAAACAAACGCATACTGACTACAGTACCAGGACAGGAGCTGTTTTTAATGGAGACACATTGTTGATCACAATTTATTCTGAAATCATGAGATGCCAGCAACAGAACAGACTGAATCAGCAGGTCAGGCTGGACAAATACTTGATTGTAGCCACAGCTGTTGGCTACGGGCAGCAGCACTGAGTTACACAACAAGGCAACGCTTTCTCTTCTACCTTCCTAACAGAACTGCCAGGTAAGGCAAAGGATGGACAGCTACTGAACTGTGGTATAAACCATGCAAGAGTAACAAATGTGAGAGTAGGTGTGTAATAAATACTTGATGACATTAGAGAAGAAGGAGGAGGAGAGGCTCATTAAAAAAAAATTATCTTCTGCAAGACATTAAAGCTATTTTAAGTATTGTCACCACCACAGTGGGCAGTCCAGTCCCATAGTGACTAATTGGTACATGGATCAGTTTTAAAACAATATCCCTCTGCACATGAGAAGGTTTGAACAAATTATTTATCCACTTGCTAAAGCTCTGGGGTTAAAGAAGTGATCAGTAATCAACATTTATTTCACACCTAGGCAGAATGGCTAGAACGGAAGACTATTGTTCAGCTGCTTCTTCAACAACTTCAATCCTGCGAGGCCCGTAGAGTAGAACATAAGCTATATGCCAGTCTCCACCCCCAGATAACCTCAAAATGTCTTCAGGTGTAACAATGCTGACTTTGTCGTCATCAAATTTAATCCATTCATCTGCAAGGAAAACAAGAGGATCATTTGTAACTTAGGTGCATAAAATCTAAGCTTGCTTAACAGCCCCTTTGCTGAAAGGAGCTGTGATGAGTGGTTAACAGGGCTGCAATTTGTTTATTATTTTTTACCTTGTTTCCTTTTAACCCAAGACACATAATGCCCAGAGGAACTTGATCTGCCTTGATGAGTTAGCACTGCCTGCAGGTCATAATAGCCGCAATTGTTAGAGCCAATATCTGAAGGGGAAAGAAAAAGTAACCTTGAGTCTTACTTGATGCATCAGCCAGGCCACAGCACCACAGGTGTGTGTGTGCAAAAGCCCAGCTACAGCACAGTACAAAACCATTGTGAACTAAAGCAGCAGCTCTCAGCCAGGAGAGTCTCAGGAAACTGAAGATGTTGTGCATTCTTATGAAATAAATATGTACACCAAAGTATTACTGATGTAATTAATGCACAGGCTGAGTGCTTTGGGCCTTCAGGCTCCAAGCCTCCCCAAAACTGAGCCAACACCAGCACCATCACAGCACTTTTAGAAGTCCAGTTTAAGTTTTTGTTTGGATTTCAGCCTTCTACCACCCACTGACAAGTCAGCGTGCACATTACAAGCAAATGTCTTTTGATGTGCCTGTCTTCTATTATCACCAGCTTGTCAGATGGATGGCAGTTATGCCTTTCACTATCTCAATGTTTTGGTTTACCTAATCTTTCCATTCCTGTCAGTCTTTCAAGATTAATTTTCAAAAGCATTAAAGAGACCGGGTTCTCAAAATAGTGCTACCATCAGGTACACTTAAGCACAAGTAAATAGGAAGTTACTTTAAAGTAGATTTGCTTCCCTGTACTCACCATCAGGAAAAGAAAATGGTTCATATTTAACTTCTTTCTGTGCACCATCACTTTTACTAGACTAAAAAAGAGAGTAAGTTGAATTAATGTGGAGCAGTTTAATAAAAGCTCTAGCACAATCACATCAAATCCCAAGTCTCCATTAATTAAAGTGCATTTCTAAGTCTAAACATTTTTGTTCAACTTGAAAGAAATTCATAATTGTATTTTTTAGGTGGACATACAAAACCCTTATCTGAAGAAGATCAGTTTTAAAGCAAATACATTTTAGCACATACTGCCTGCAGTGTTCACCCACGAGATTTATGGGTTTGTTTATGAAACAATTCTGCAATTGCAGATTTATTCCTTGGTGGGGGCTTGCTAGCAGCAGAAGTGACAATAAGAAAATACCAGAGACAGACTCTCAGTGCCAATACATTCTGTTCAAAAATAGCACTCTTTCCTTGCTCCCATCTGTGTAAGAGGGGATGCAAGCCTTATCCAAATGCTTAAAAGAATTTGCAATGAGTTAGGCCAGGAAAAATACCAGCAAACTTTAAAAAATGGCTAAAACATGACAGTTTTTAGCTCATTTACTTTTGTCTTCAATAAAGACAGGGAAGTCAGCATTATGTAGACAGGATAAGACATGAGACCATTTCCCAAGTTTTTACAGTGCTGACTTCAGGCTCACTAGTACACGTACTCTAATTTTTACCAGTCAGGCACATGACAGTGTCTTGTACAACCCTTTCCAGCTGCTGAGCAGGGAATGGCTTCCTACACTCCACTGAAGAAGGGAGCAGCCACCTAACAGTAATATTTGAAGAGAATAATTCTGTGTAACTTACAGCAAACTTTTGGGCATAGCTGAAAATACAGGATAAAAAGATCTAAAGCTCAATACCAAGGAGTTTGCTATGTAAGAAAATAATATATTTAGGGACAGCAAGTTTTCTCTAGTCCTTATTAGTACCCCAATGTCAGATGTATGAGTTAGTGAAAGCATCAGGAGACTTACGTTCTTTGGCTGTTGATTTACTTTTTTGTCTTCTAGGTCTTTGAATTTTGATCGATAAGAAACCATTTTTTCCTGCAGGTCGGGCGTACACAGCTCATACACATCCAACATAAGAGGAAATTTGACATCCTAGGAAGTAAAAGACAAAGGTTTATTAGCATGATTTGGTACTCCACATTAAAGCATTCTCCCATGGGAAGACAACACAATCAAATTAAATGAAACCCTCTTCAAATTGATGGCAACCTGACCTACTGGGATTCTTTTAGTATTTACCAAAAGAGCTACAATGCTTTCACTGAAGAATGTCTAATTCAGTACAAACAAACAACTTTATATTATTACATTCAGCATAGACTAACAATAAATCAGATTCTTTATTGCTAGCTGTCATACTTTCACACTATGGAAATACCTGTACAGGCCTAAGGGAAAAGAAAAAAGAGGCAAGCATGTAGAATGACTGTACCCTGGCAAAAATGTTATTTTGTGCTATCCAAACTACCTTCTGAAACAGTTAACATGTACCTTTAATCCTTATTTCATTTCCTCCTCTTGTAAGGAAAGAGCACCTATCATGATGCTCCTGGGTAGCCTGCGAGGCCTGTCGGCCATGGCCAACAGAAAGCAAAACAGAACATTCAGCTGTTGGCAGCTGGTTCCTGCATTTGTCCATCAGAAAGCCAGACAATTAAAATAACTAATACAGGAAGTGTCTGACAGCATAAACATCTCCCATCAACATTAGAACACTGTTCAGAGTTTGAAAGCATGGCCCTCTCCTTAGTTAAACATTCTTCTCAGAACCACTGGTGAGAAAAGACCAAAAAACATCTTGTATTGTGTCATGATGTAATATTAGCAGTACTGGGACAAATTCACTTTTGCCCCTCACCTCCTTCCTCAGTCTATTTTGGGTAGTGTAGTTTGCCATACACCATCACAACTGGGAACAAAACTATTTGGCACTTGAGCAAAGGAACTGCACTCTTTAATGTTTTTAAATGCAATTTAAAGGTGAACAATTAAGAAAGTAGTCTTCAAGTCCTCATTGTCTACCCTTAATAAAAACTCACAGAAAACATAAAGAGGAATTGAATTTCAATATGCAAAAAACTTACCTTAAGAACTTTTGCATTCACAGATTCTTTCTCTTTGTAAAAAAATCTAACCATCTGAATAGTCAGGTACGCTGGCAAGCGACTAATTTTGGACTACAAAAAAAAAATTAGAAAAAGGTATTACTTTAAATATTCACAGATCTTTTTTACCTTAAACACTGGTCATCCTAAATTACTGTCTATTCTGGGAATGTATTTGTACACAAACCCACAGGAATAAAATAAAGTTTCCTTTATTGAAGCTCTGTCTTAAATTTCTTGGTAGTGAATACTCAGATGCTTTATAAACATAAATCACATGGTGTTGCAGCAATAACTGTGTGGTGTGGAACAGAAAACTGAAAAGAATTGTGAAGAGCAAGGAAAGTGCCACTCACAGATTTGATATAGAGTGCATTTCTCTGCAGTGTTGGAGAAAGTTTGGTGATTTCCTCCTGAAGACGCTGTTGCAAGAGAAAGAAGTAACACACGTTCATCAGAAAACACAGCTTAGAGAAAAGCACAACAGGGGTAAACAAACCATAAACTAAATCTTGTTCTGCAAGTCTCTTGTGTTGCTGTCAGCCATTACAACACGTAAGATTTTGAAATTCCTTGGCAGAAAGGACTATGCCCATTCATTCCTTCAGCTCCAGGCTCATTCCTGAGCCCTGACAACACCGAGTTTCTCTCTGCAGAAAATTTTGCTCCACAGGAGTAGAACTCACAATTGGATTTTATTATGAATTGTATCTGGACTTGGTTACAAATGTATCATATGCTTAGAGCACAAATGAAGAAAATCTGAAGTTTCCTGTGAGAAGAATATTTACACATTTCTCAGCTCTCAGTCTCAAGCAGCCAAAGCTGCATCTAAATTGACAGCTGGTGTCTCCTAACAAAATTCTGGGAAAGACTAGCTTGGTTCTTAGTGTTGCAATTCTCTTGCTCCAGGCAATCTAGCATAAGTTGCAGATTTTTTTTTTGGCCTGAAAGCGAAATTTCTTTTTTTATAGTTTTTTTTTCATTTGTGAGCATTAGCTGTTTTATCCTACTTTTCCTTCTAAATTCTGTTAGGAAAAAGAAAAAAAAGCAGAGATATATAAAGATTATCTGAGAATCATACAACTTGGTTTTAGTCCTGTACAAACCAGATCACTGCCCTAGTCTTACACAGTTACTACAAAGGTTTTGCAGTAGCTCCTCTCCTTTCTACTTCAGTCTCCCCAAAAAGCCCTTACAATTTCAAAATACATACATAACCTAAAAATCACAGACAACCTTAAGGAGTTCTACTTAAAAAAAGCTGGAGAATAATGTTGTCTGATGGAAAATAACACCCCCTTTAAAATCTGCCACATCAAATTTAGTTGTTACATCATCTGGTGGGGTTTTAATTAGGAACCAAAATGCCAGCCTACTTCCAAGTTGACTTTTGGACCTTCCGGGAACTGATTGCTGCATAAATCATGATACTACTCAGTCTGGAGTGAAACCCAGCTGAAGAAACAAAGAGGAAACTCTCTTGCACTTGGTTACCTGCATGGGGAACACCATGTCAGGGTCAAGATAATGCTCTGCTGAAGTCTGTTTGACATTAACATGCAATTCCCTTTCACAGCCATCTTCCCAATGAACACCAAAAAGATTCCTGAAACTTCATAATCTTTGGACAGCAGACATCAATTCCAAGTCACAGATTAAATGCACTTAGAACTAAGTGCATTTAGGTCACTTAGAATTTCAACTGAGAAATATGCAGACCATTTAGAATTTCAATTCAATAAAAGTTGCAATAGCTTACCAATTTTAGTCCTGTAAACAGGTATTTCACTTCTTGATTGATAAAGCAGCTAAGCTGAAGGAGATTCTCCTTTCCTTTAGTTACTTCTTCTTCTTCGGCTTCTGTACATTTCATGCTTCACAAAATTAAGGAAAACCATCATGCACCAAGAGCTGAACTACTCCTCTAGTGAAAAGAACATGCCAAGCAGCACAGCAATTTAGGTAATTCTGTGCTTGTGTAGACAGTACTTTTACTTCTCATAGTACAAAAAAGATTTGAAGGAGCCCTTCCTTCAGACCAATCTGTTCCTTTGTGGCTAAGGACAAGGGGCAGCAGGGGCAGATAGCACACCAAAAAAAAGGAAAATAAGTCTTTGATCACCATTTAACCTAAGGCCTGCTTTTTCTTTTTTCTTCCCCATCACCACCCAACCCCCAGGACACAGAACACACTAACTGGCTGCCAACACCCAGTTACAAAGCCCTCCTGCAACACTGCACTCCATTGTTGCTTATGATTAATAAAGTTCTTCTACTGCTGCTGCTGGCCAGACTTCCTGCTTCTTTCAACATGCAGAGCCTCCTTTCTCTGCCTTGTATCTGTCCTCTTCACTGAAATGAAATTAATTCCTTCATTATTTTCTACACATTCCTTTTAATTGTTCTGTCTGTCCTCTCCTCTTCTCATAGTTCTAGCCCAATGCTTTTCTCTCATCTATCTCCTTCCAAGCAGGTATTTTTCTGACTGCAGCTATTCTACAAATGCTGCTGTAATCACACTTTGAAAGTCTGCAACTCTTCTAACAAGTCTTCTTGCTGATACTGGCCTATGCATCATTCCTCTTAGCTACACATTCCAAGACTCCCAACGATTTTAAGGACAACAAACATCAAAGAAGAGGGAGAGAGATGCATGATTCTTACCTAGAAAAAGATAAGAATCATTAGTCATTACTACCAAACCATGAGATACAGTACCTCATCTAAGGGGATGTTTCCTTATTTCAGACAAGCAAAATGCACAGTGTATAACTTTCTAAAAGTGGTGCTCAGTTTGATGACAGCCAGGCTTTTGGGGTGGAGAAATGGGAAAAGAGTAATACTTGCCATGAGATGTGTGCCCCATGTGGTCATATTCTCTTTTTCCTGCTATAAAGAACCCACTAGAAAGTTGTCAGCTGCATTTGTTTCTTACTCATACAACTGTGGACACCTAATTTATTTCTTAAGAAATCAATCAGTCTACCTTTTGTGCATCTTTAGTACACCAGGTATGTCAGCAACACACTCTTACAAGCCAAAAAAGCCTATTTAGGACAACAATTACTTTTAGTTAGATAAAGCATGTCAGCATCCTTGAAGCTGGTAAGGACCAATCTTCTCTGGGGAGGAAATGTGCTATTGAAATTCAACAAGGGTTTTTTTCTCTGTAGATTTTCATTACCATTCTTTCTCCCCACATCATCCTCTCTCTTAAAGCATATCCAATCTTAAAGTTAAGTTCTGTGTACTCCTGCACGACATCATGATCCCGTTCCCCAACCTACACCTTCATTTTCCATAGTGTTCTGAACAATGCTTTTCATCCTCCCTGAACTCAACTGCTAAAGTGTAAAATCACTGTTGTTTATGTCTTGCCTTAGTCTTTAGGATACGCTGTTTCAAATTCAATGCTGAAGAATTGATCAATTAAACTCTTCTTTTTAGAGGATGCTGCTGTAGCTCCAGAGTCTGCCTGTAAAACAAAATCTCTTATGACGTAACTTTAAACAGAATGTAAATACAGTCTTCTCTACAGACAAAATTACCCCATTTATTTAAATTCTTTAAAGCCTATTCCTTTATCTTTCTATAGGTGCATTTTCTCCTAGTCAGTCAATCTTCTAACACAGCATAAAAGTTTCAAAACAAATATGCTTATAACATGCTGTTAAAACCAACCTGAAGCCCATTAACAAGCAAGATCAAAAATTCATAAATCCCTAGGCCCCCAACTTAAATCTATCTTAAGTTTCAGGATAGTCTTCCAAGGCCCTGCCAAGAGTCTCCAGAAAACAGTTTACAGAGAAAAGAGAAAGCTGTTCTGGTAAAATCTGGGGAAAAACTTTCAGCAATTTCTTGTATCAGATTAACCATTCAAGTTAAAACTGTAGCACACTTTTTTCAGAAAAAAAAGAAAGTTCTTATGTGCTGAATTCACAGGTTATCAGGGCCAGCTACCACGTACATGAGAGGGTGTCACCACCAGCTTGGTGCAACACTGCCCCTTACACAGCCCAAAGGGAAGGGTTTCCTTTAGCACACTCCACAGCATCACTGACAGGACCATGGTAGCATTATGCTGATCAGAAACATCAGAAAGTAACTTCACAATTCCAGACACACGTTAAAGAACTCACAAACAGATAATACTTAGCAAAACATATGTGAAATACTATAAATCCTTCTTCTGGTTAGAGTAAGACTACAATTACCTCCATAATTGTATCACCTTCTATGCCTTCCAGCTTCTGCTGTAGTACCCTCATCATCTGCACCCAGCACTCATTGGCATCCTAGGAAGGGAGCACAACATTAAATCTGACTACAAGCATTATGATTTAGTAACATTAAACCCATCAATTATAAAGCCAAATGTGAGGATTCCTTAACTAAGAATTTCTCCCAATTCCACCATGCATTCTCAGAACTAGCACTTGATATTACATTCAACTTCTATACAACTTTTCTACAGAAAAAGCACCCCTTATTTTCACAGGAGAAGGAAAGTCTTTAAATGTTCTTGTTCTCAACTTCCAACATACTATAGAACTTTAAACAATAAGTTAATAATTGGTCTTTACCTGTTGAAGGTACTGGCCTTGGTCACCTTTCTCTGCAAACTGTGGGAAGGCCATATGCAAAAACTGCAGGAGAATGATAGGTGGGATACTGGAGGAAGTTTTATCCATGGAATCAAACAAGTCTCTAAGAGCTTGAAGAAAAAGTGAATGCTTTGAGAAGCGAAAAAACAATTCAAACATGGCAGGAAGTGTAAAAAGAACAGTAAAACAGCAACAACATTTAAAGACTGATCATTTAACAGTGTCCAAATTGATCTTTCCAAAGCAGGACCAAATTTTCCAGGTGGCATAACAGGTGCACCTATGATCTCCTTTCTGAACACAACTTTGAAAGCATAAAGATGGCAATTCTGAGAATTTGGCACATATTGCCTTGTCTTTCCTGGCTGCTAACAGGGGAAAAAAATTTTGAGCAATTAAGATTTCATTTGGAACACATCAGAGGAACAACATTTTCACAAGAGAAACCAGGAGGCATTCACAATCTATCCTCTAGAGCAACTTAAGTTTCACCAGCTACTAGGAAAAAAAACTTTAATAAAATATCTAGGAAATACCCATGCTTAAAACCCAGGAAAACAAGTATGTGTATGCATATGTGCAGAGAGCTATATGTACATAACTATGTGCAATC